CTTCTCGCTCCCCATTACCCATTCCCGCCTCCCCGTTTCCCCTTCCCGCTCCCCATTTCCCATTCCCGCCTCCCCGTTTTCCCTTCTCTACTCCTCAATTCTCATTCCAGCCTGCACGTTTCCCCTTCCCGCTCCCCGTTTCCCCTTCCCACCTCCCTGTTTCCCCTTCCCGCTCCCCATTACCCCTTCCCGCCTCCCCATTTCCCATTCCCGCTCCCCATTACCCCTTCCCGCCACCCCCCTTCCCGCCTCCCCATTACTCCGTTTCCCCCCTTTCTCCCTCTCGTTTCCCCCCCTTCTCCCTCTCGTTTCCCCGCCTCCCCCTCTCGTTTACCCCCCTTCCCCCTCTCATTCCCCCCCCTTCTCCTCATTATTTTCCCTGCTTCTCCCTCTCATTTCCCCCCTGCATTACCCTTCCCCTCCCTGCATTACCCTTCCCCTCCCTGCATTACCCTTCCCCTCCCTGCATTACCCTTCCCCTCTTTTTCACGATCCTCCTGCCTTTCCCTCTTTTCCCCTCTCGTGCTGCCTTTCTCTCTTTTCAGCTCTCTTCAACAAGTGTTGAACAAATTATGACCAGCTAGAGCTGGGGACAACCCTCCATGTATCTTGAGTTGAGTACAACACACGTCAGATGTCGCATACAATGCTGTGCTGTGCCCATGTGCATCATGCAAGGATGCTGTACGCAAAGAAGGGAAGTTGTGTCTAGGTACAGTCATCAACATTTCCAATGTATTATGACATGCTATGCTATGCTATCAATTCACTTGATTGATACGCTAACAGCACACACAAGCTGGAACTTCCTGCCTATTGATTTGGTTTCACTAAGCTGCTAAGAGCAGCACTCAGAATGAGAAGGCCTGATGTCCTTCGTGTCGTGCTGTTGAAAAAAAACAAACAAACAAACAAAATTATAGACAAGGGCAAGCTGCAGAAGAAACAGAGGGTAAGCTGGAGGGGAAGGGAGGGGAAGCAAAGGGGGAGCAAGGGTTGCACGGGGGGAAGTAAGGAAGGGTAAGCAAAGGGGGGAGGAGGGGAAGGACTGTGCAGCATGTGAGGGCGCTGCAGCTCCCTCACGCGCGCCAGCAGCATGAGCGCACTCACCTGCCGGCAGGGTGGGGGCAGGGAAGGGTAAGGAGGGGGGAAATGAGGGAAAGGAGAGGGGGGAATGAGGGGAGGGAGAGGGGAAAATGAGGGGAAGGAGGGGTAAAGGAGGGGACGGAGAAAGGGAGAGGAGAGGACGGATAAGGGGAAATGTGGGAAACAAGAGGAACGAGAGGATGAAATGAGGGGAGAGGGGGAAACAAGGGGACGGAGTAGGGGAAATGCGAGAAACGAGATGGGGAGATGAGGGTAAGGAAAGGGTGAATGAGGAGAAGGAGAGGGCGAAATGAGGGGAAGGAGAGGGGGAAATGAAGAGGGAGAAAGGGGGGAAGTGAGGGTGAGCAGGGGGAGAAATGAGAGGGAGCAGGGGGGGAAAATGAGAGGGAGCAGGGGGGGAAATGAGAGGGAGCAGGGGGGGAAATGAGAGGGAGCAGGGGAAGAAATGAGAGGGAGCATAGGGGGGAAATGAGAGGAAGAAAGGGGGAAAATGAGGGGGAGAAGGGGGGGAAACGAGAGGGGGGAAAGCGGGGAAATGAGAGGGGGAAGAGAGGGAAATGAGAGGGAGAAGGGGGGAAATGAGAGGGAGAAGTTGGGGAAATGAGAGGAGGAGGGGAAACGAGAGGGGGAAGGGTGGGAAACGAGAGGGAGGAGGGAGAGAAATGAGAGGGGGAAGGGGGGAATACGAGAGGGGGAAGGGGGAGTTACGAGAGGGAGGAGGGGGGGAAATGAGAGGGAGAAGGGGGGAAAACGAGATTGATAAGGGGGGGAAACGAGAGGGGGAAAGGGGGGAAATGAGAGGCGGAAGGGGGGAAAACGAGAGGGAGAAAGGGGGGAAACGAGAGGGAAGAGCGGGGGAAACGAGAGGGAGGAGGGGGGGGAATGAGAGGGAGAAGGGGGGGAAACGAGAGGGGGAAAGCGGGGAAATGAGAGGGGGAAGAGGGAAATGAGAGGGAGAAGGGGGGAAATGAGAGGGAGAAGTTGGGGAAATGAGAGGAGAAGGAGGGGAAACGAGACGGGGAAGGGGGGGAAACGAGAGGGAGGAGGGGGGGAAATGAGAGGGAGAAGGGGGGGAAACGAGAGGCGGAAGGGGGGGAAAGGAGAGGCGGATGGGGGGGGAACGAGAGGGAGAAGGGGGGGAAACGAGTGGGTGGAGGGGGGAAACAAGAGGGAGGATGGGTGGAAACGAGATGGAGAAGGGGGGGAAACGAGAGGCAGAAGGGGGGAAAATGAGAGGCGGAGGGGGGGGGGAACGAGAGGGAGAAAGGGGGGAAACGAGAGGGAGGAGCTCCGGGAAAATGAGAGGCGGAAGGGGGGGAAACGAGATTGAGGAAACGAGAGGCGGAAGGGGGGGAAATGACGAAATAAGGTTATGAGCCAAGCAGCGCGTGAGGCAAGTATTTTGCCGATTCGCAGGTGAGGCATGCGGCGGGTGAGGCGAGAAGCGGGTGACGCGCTAAACGGATTTCGCGAGCACCGTGTTTGGCGAGGAGCGGGTATCGCGATCAGCGGGTTTCGCCATCAGCGGGTTTCGCCATCAGCGGGTTTCGCGATGCATAATGGCGCTAGGCGAGAAGCCCGCAGGGTGGAACGCGACGGCTCACTGAATAATTTATCGCTGGTTCGACGATTGCATCGCAGCGAGCCAGCATAATGCAACTCGTCGAGGCGCTCGCCCGTGTGCCGCATGGCATCGCTCGACGAATGCTACGCGACGGCCCATCCGAATGCAAACCGCCCCTGCAGCTAAAGGCTTTTGTATAGCCCCGTGTCCCCTTACCACGGGCGATTAGGTCAGGGTGAGTAGTTGCGCTGCTAGTTCTATCAAGGCCTTTCCTAGTAATTAGTTGCTTATACTTGCGTTTGTGAGTGTCGCTCAAGGGTTGGGTGACGGGAGAGTTTCTCGTGTTCCCACCCCTCAATCCTCCAAATTTTCGCAACCCCTCTCGCCAAGCCCCTTTCTTTCGTTGGGGCGAAATCTTGGTGGCTACTGTTCCACCACAAACAGTACTTTCAAATGTATACGAAAGCTTTAATTCACGCCACTGCCGTGCTGACCAGTCACGTTACCCTTCGCAACGAATTTGTGCTGCTCATCGACGTCGATCGCTAGGCTCTCAAATTTCGTGGATGTCGAGTGGCGAAGCTTGAAGTAACTCGTGTGTCAATCACCTTCCCAACAGTCAACAGGCATTGACTGACAGCTTTGGGTTACCCGCTGTCAGTAAATGCCTTTCCCCCTCGCGACAACCAGAGGCGGTGTTGCGACGTTGAGCACTGATTGGCTGGGGACCACCAGCAGGGACGATCGCCAAAAACTTGTCTAGCAATTTTGCTCGGTCGATCGCAGGTTCGGCGATTGCACCGCACTGAAATCCTGCTAAAATTGAAATCACATATTTTAAATCCGCCAGAAATCAATTTTACGAAGGTTCGATCGCAAGGTCAATTCTAGAGGTACCGCGTCTTGATTGGGAGGGAACCATCCTCATTCATGATCTGGTGATGTCGAAGGAAACAAGGCTCGCCGTTGAGCGGCGTATGGGTTGCGTAGGAGCAATGTTTTCAAATAAGTGCCGCATAAAAATGCTAGCTTATGTATATGTTATATTAAGCAGTATCGCATAGGCTATATTATGCGTTACATATTTATTTCAATAAACGTTTGGAAGGATAATGTAATAACAATTGATTCTATTTCTGTATCTTATTGAACCTGTCATGATTTTGTTATTAATGCCATTACATTAAGGGGATATGTAAAGACCAATAAGTATCTGTCAAGATTTATATCCATACTTATATTAGGGTATTTTGTTTTTTGTGTTCATCTAGCTGTTATGACTCATTGTTCACGTGCCAGAGTTGAATTTGTCGAGTTGTATTTTTCACGTGCTCGCACGCGGGAAGTTTTCGTTTTGTTTTCCTGGTTTTTATTTTAGGCGTGATAAAGGAGTACAAATCTAGTTGCCCTCCAGAAATTTCCTGAAACTTTGAAGCATTTTGGTACATGGTTCAAGAAAACATTTCCTTCTGACCAGTTGGAGAACAGACCACCGCACAAGCGAAAATCAAGAACCCCCACCTGCTCTATGCTGCAAATCAAGAACCGAAATCCCTCGCCACCTGCTAGTCAACTTTAGTCTCGTTTAATGCTTAGTTCAGCCTCTGTCGACAGCGCCCGTGACAACAGTCGTCAAGCCACGGTGAAGCGCCGCCCCGTGAGAAGCGCTTCTGATAGGCAGACTGAAAAACGCCAACTAAAGTACCTGTGAGTTAAGAATTGTGAAAAAGAAGCGACGTGAAAAAGGTATGCAGTCATGATAATGCGCTGGCGCCTATCGCGCTAGCGCCACGCTAGCGTCTAGAACGGTCGCATAGGCCGCTGGCGCCCAGGTCGCTGGCGGCTTTCGCCCTGACGCCTGACGCATTGCCACGCAAGTGCTGGCGCGTAAGGCGCTGGCGCCTCAAGCAATTGCTTGGGACGCTGGCGCCTAACGCGCTGGCGCCTAGCGCGCTGGTGCCTTGCGCGCTGGCGCCTGGCGCGCTTGCGCTTGCTGCGCTGGCGCCTTGCGCGCTGGCGCTTGCTGCGCTGGCACCTAGCGCGCTGGCGCCTAGCGCACTGGCGCCTAACGCGCTGGCGCCTAGCGCGCGGGCGGCTAAGGCGCTGGCGCCTAGCGCGCTAGCGCGCTGGCGCCTAACGCGCTGGCGCCTAACGCGCTGGCGCCTAACGCGCTGGCGCCTAAGGCGCTGGCGCCTAGCGCGCGGGCGCCTAAGGCGATGCCGCCTAGCGCGCTGGCGCCTAGCGCGCTGGCGCCTAACGCGGTGGCACCTTGCAGCGCGCCGCGCGCTGGTGGCTTGTGCGCTGCTTGTTGTGGCAGCGCACTGGCAGATTATTGCGCACGCCTTGCTGCAGTGAGCTCACGCGTTGCTGCAGTGAGCTCACGCCTTGCTGCAGTGAGCTCACGCGTTGCTGCAGTGAGCTCACGCCTTGCTGCAGTGAGCTCACGCGTTGCTGCAGTGAGCTCACGCCTTGCTGCAGTGAGCTCACGCCTTGCTGCAGTGAGCTCACGCCTTGCTGCAGTGAGCTCACGCCTTGCTGCAGTGAGCTCACGCCTTGCTGCAGTGAGCTCACGCGTTGCTGCAGTGAGCTCACGCGTTGCTGCAGTGAGCTCACGCGTTGCTGCAGTGAGCTCACGCGTTGCTGCAGTGAGCTCACGCCTTGCTGCAGTGAGCTCACGCCTTGCTGCAGTGAGCTCACGCCTTGCTGCAGTGAGCTCACGCGTTGCTGCAGTGAGCTCACGCCTTGCTGCAGTGAGCTCACGCCTTGCTGCAGTGAGCTCACGCCTTGCTGCAGTGAGCTCCCGCCTTGCTGCAGTGAGCTCACGCCTTGCTGCAGTGAGCTCACGCGTTGCTGCAGTGAGCTCACGCCTTGCTGCAGTGAGCTCACGCCTTGCTGCAGTGAGCTCACGCGTTGCTGCAGTGAGCTCACGCCTTGCTGCAGTGAGCTCACGCGTTGCTGCAGTGAGCTCACGCCTTGCTGCAGTGAGCTCACGCCTTGCTGCAGTGAGCTCACGCGTTGCTGCAGTGAGCTCACGCGTTGCTGCAGTGAGCTCACGCCTTGCTGCAGTGAGCTCACGCCTTGCTGCAGTGAGCTCACGCGTTGCTGCAGTGAGCTCACGCCTTGCTGCAGTGAGCTCACGCCTTGCTGCAGTGAGCTCACGCCTTGCTGCAGTGAGCTCACGCGTTGCTGCAGTGAGCTCACGCCTTGCTGCAGTGAGCTCACGCGTTGCTGCAGTGAGCTCACGCCTTGCTGCAGTGAGCTCACGCCTTGCTGCAGTGAGCTCACGCGTTGCTGCAGTGAGCTCACGCCTTGCTGCAGTGAGCTCACGCGTTGCTGCAGTGAGCTCACGCCTTGCTGCAGTGAGCTCACGCCTTGCTGCAGTGAGCTCACGCGTTGCTGCAGTGAGCTCACGCGTTGCTGCAGTGAGCTCACGCCTTGCTGCAGTGAGCTCACGCCTTGCTGCAGTGAGCTCACGCCTTGCTGCAGTGAGCTCACGCCTTGCTGCAGTGAGCTCACGCCTTGCTGCAGTGAGCTCACGCCTTGCTGCAGTGAGCTCACGCCTTGCTGCAGTGAGCTCACGCCTTGCTGCAGTGAGCTCACGCCTTGCTGCAGTGAGCTCACGCCTTGCTGCAGTGAGCTCACGCCTTGTTACGGCAGCCCGCTTGCTCCTCTGCCAGTGCCTTGCTGCAACTCTCTGGCACCTTGTAGCATGGCAATGCCCAGCTCGTTGCACCAAGGCACCTTGCTCGCTGAAGCCTTGCTGCACACCAGCGTGGTGTGCGTGACCCCAGGGGATCTATGCTTCAAACCACGCTTATGAGTCGTCGAATTCGGTTTTCTTTTGTACTTATCATATTTCTTTCAAGTTCCATTTCACAATCAAGTGTGTGTTCGTCATTGAATAGTTCACTCCGTTTTCCGACTACAATTCTTTTTCTGCTTGACCTGTTTGTTTTGCAAGGTGTGCGAGACGCGTTGTGGGGAGCAGGGAGGAATCGAGAGAGAAAACAATGTGGAAAAGGGTGGGAGGAGATTTCGATGGTTGAGGGAGAGGAAGGAAGGCAGAAAGGGGGAGTAAGGGGGGGACAAGGTAGCAGTGATTGATACATAATTAACTTATTGCAACTCTTTGTTATGCTTGTATGCTCTCAATCCTATTTGTATGTATGTGTGTGCGGTGCGGGTGTGTTTGTGCGGGTGTGTGTTCATGTCTTGTCATTGTGTTTGTTTTACTGTGGGGTTTTACGTGCGTTTGCATTCGTGTTTGTGGAATGTGTGTTTCTAAGTGGTGTTAGTATGTGTTATGTATGCAATTAGAGGTTGTTAATCGTCTTTGGGGCAGCGTGTTTTCGCTGTTTCAACGACCCCATCAACCTCTGTTGCTGCATGATGCATTTTAACATTCATTTTGAAGCATTCACTCCACCTCATACCGTACCTTCTTGTTCATTTGTACGATTGCATTCGTTCATGTTGATGCCAGAATATAATGCTCAGCCGTACGATCCGCCGTATTTATCGACGAGGTTGTGACGGTCGAGCAAGTTCATGGTTTCAACATGATACGTACGTGCTTATGTGTTTTGGGGATCTCATTCAAGAGTGTTTTCTATCCACTGTTTGAGGCATCCGTTTGGACACAGTTTCAAAACATTCAAACGAGTGCTCCAAAAAGTGCGTAAATAACACTCTTCGAATGATATCCCCGAAATGTGAAACCAAATATAAAGGGTTGCTACGCAACCCAAAAACTAGCATAGCGTCTTCATACCCGCACGCGCGTTACTTTTACGTCCGGCTCACTCGAATGACTCGCTGTCGTCGCGCACAGGCGCGATCTCTCGTCACTCGCATTATCATCTCCTGCGGCGAACTTTCTTCGCTCACTTTGTACCGTTGCTCTCTCCCCCCTCCTCCCCCCCCCCCCCCCCCCCCTCTCTTCCCCCCCCCTCCGTCTCTCAGTATAGTCACTCAATCTCACACTCCCATCACTCGCGCGACGCCCTCGTGTGCTCTGTCCGTCGGCCTCGCTCCCCCTCCCCGTCTCCCTCGCTCCCCCTCCCCGGCGCCCTCGCTCCCCCTCCCCGTCGCCCTCGCTTCCTCTCCCCGTCTGCCTCGCTTCCGCTGCCTGTCGCCCTCGCTCCCCCTGCTCGTCGCCCTCGCTTCCCCTCATCGCCCGCGCTTCCCCTCGTCGCCCTCGCTTCCCCTCCTCGCCCGCGCTTCCCCTCATCGCCCTCGCTTCTTCTCCCCGTCGCCCACCTCTCCTCGGCCCCCTCGCTCCCCCTCCCCGTCCCCCTCACTCCCTCTCCTCGTCGCCCTCGCTCCCCCTCCCCGTCCCCCTCACTCCCTCTCCCCGTCTGCCTCGCTTCCCCTGCTCGTCGCCCTCGCTTCCCCTCGTCGCCCTCGCTTCCCCTCGTCGCCCTCGCTTCCCCTGCTCGCCGCGCCCTCGCTTTCCCTGCTCATCGCCCTAGCTTCCTCTGCCCGTCGTCATTGCCTCCCCTCCGACGAGTCGTCGCCCTCGCTTCCCTTGCTCGTCGCCCTCGCTTGCCCTCCCATCGCTCTTCCCTTCTCCCTCGATCTCCCTTCCTGTCGCCCTCGCTTCCCCTCGTCGCTCTTCTCATCGCCTTGCCTGGCGCCCTCGCTTCTCTTGCCCATCGCCCTCGCTTCTCTTGCCCATCGCCCTCGCTTTCCCCTTCATCTCCCGCCCCGTCGCACAGTTTCTCCCATGATTCATTCTCGCGACATTCTCGCACACCCGTCAACCGCTCTCGTCCCACCCTCCCGTCATTCTCACCCGTCGCTCACTCCTCCCAGTTACCGCCTTTCTACACCCCAATTTTTACTCTCTTCAGTCACTCACACTCTCAGTCTCACACTATTCAGTCTCTCACACTCTTCAGTCTCTCACACTCAGTCTCTCACACTCAGTCTCTCACACTCTTCAGTCTCTCACTCTCTTCAGTCGTTCACACTCTTCAGTCTCTCACCCTCGTGACACTCTCGACCACCCGCCACCCTTCCTTCCCTCCCCCTACTTAATCCCTTCCCCCCAACCACCTACAGCCCACCCTCTCTCACCTATCCCCCTCCTTCCCCTCCACTTACCGCCCTCTTTCCCCCCACTTACCGCCCACTTCCCCCACATACTGCCCGCCTTTCCCCCTCCTCTTTTGCAGCAACCACCCTCCCACTCACCCCGTTCCTGCCCCTTCTGAATCCCTTTCCTTCAATCACTCACAGTCCGCCCTCTCCCCACTTATCCCCTTCCCTTCCCTCACTTACCACCCTCCTTCCTCCCCACATACCACCCTCCTTCCTCCCCACATACCACCCTCCTCCCTCCCCACATACCGCCCTCTTTCCTCCCCGTGTACTGCCCTTTTTTCCCTACTTACCAGCCTCCAGCCACCCAGTTACCACCGTCAACCACATCCACATACCACCCTGCTTCCCCCCACTTACCAACCTCCAACCCCCATGTACCACCCTAATGACGCCTCCACGCCCCACCCACCTTGTTCCCTACATAACGCCCTCCTTCCTTCCAACACGCCGCCCTCCTATCCCCCCATGTACTGCACTGCCCATGTTCCCCCGAACAAACCACCATCATTTCCCCCCTTATGACCCTCATTCCCCCCCAGTCACCGCCCTCCTTCCATTCACATACCCCCTCTACTTATGGTACCTCCCTGCAAACCCTCTCCAATCCTCTTTCCCCCCGCATATCAACCCCCTTTCCCCGACACACCACCCTTCCCCCCCCCCCCCCCCCCCACAACAGCCCACCTGCCCTCGACAATAATGTTCTCATTCGTCAGTCACACCGCAGGGGCAGAGGGGCGGAAGTGTTGGAGGATAAGGAGAGCGGCTCCTTGTTATGGTTTTAGAACAAAAGATGGTTAGAAAAGCAAACATACTTTTTTTTTCTCTCTCTTGCATGCAAACGATTCTTTTAATCCATGAGAGCGGTAATTTTATTCCATCTACCGGTAATAATGTCGCATCTCCTTCGGAAAATTAGATAGTGTAAGTTTCCGTCTCACACCAAGTACTGACTAGGCCTTGTTACAATATGAAGGTTATAGAAGTGACTAACAGTGAGGTACAGGGGTTCATATAGAATTACGGACGGTTATGAAATGCCCTAACACACATAAACGCTGAACACGACGAATAAACGGTTTGCAAAGATAATCCAGAGATCTGGATGAACAGTTGTATATGCTGATGTGAGTGTTGCTAAGTTTATGTAGAAAAGAAACCATTGTGTAACAGTTCACGCCCTAACTTTCTCAGACAACTGTGGATTTACGCTTTCTTTTGGCGAAGGCGCCTGTGAGAGGAATAGACGAACTCGACGTCAGAGACCGTCAGATCCGTATGTCTGCCCTTCTTATCGACGGTTAATCGCGACCACCGGAACTGATGCTTTTGCTGAGAGGCGCTTCCTCAAGCCCTAGGGTTTGCTTTTGATGGTGGCGAGCGACGCTGTGATGTTTTCCATTCCATCCGCAACACTCCACTTCAACTCAGGTCTATTGCCTAGGTCCTTGCTTGCGAAGTCTACTTCCCTGTTTTGAGTTTTTAATTGCCTCTTCAGTTTGTTCCAAGTCATTTTGCGCTCTCAAGTCGACTTACCAACCTTTTTCAATCTTCATAGTCTTTTAACCCTAGAGCATATTATATCTGCATCATGGCTCGTACCAAGCAGACTGCTAGGAAGTCCACTGGAGGAAAGGCTCCTAGGAAGCAACTCGCCACAAAGGTAGACCTAGTTACGATACCTGTTTAAGCACATTTAACTCTCTTAGCACGGTCACCATATGCCTTATACGCCCAACTGATTCAGTTTCCTGTTTGAGTGATTCAGGCTGCGAGGAAATCTGCTCCTACAACAGGAGGAGTAAAGAAGCCTCATCGTTATCGTCCCGGAACGGTCGCCCTTCGGTGCGTTTTTTTTAAAGAAGTTTCGACTATCTTTGCGGTGCGCTTTTCTGACATTTTTTTTTTCATGGTTTGGCAGTGAGATTCGCAAGTACCAGAAGAGTACCGAGCTGCTAATTCGGAAGCTTCCCTTTCAGCGGCTGGTTCGCGAAATTGCTCAAGACTTTAAGGTCTGGTATTTTCTTTTAAAAAATATTGATCCTCGCTTCTCCGCTCTGTTTTCCTTCCTTACCGTAACTTAATGCTATTACCTGTGCTGCGCAGACGGACCTGAGGTTCCAAAGCCATGCCGTGCTCGCGCTCCAAGAAGCTGCCGAAGCTTATCTCGTTGGTTTGTTCGAGGATACGAATTTGTGCGCCATTCATGCCAAGCGTGTCACCATCATGCCTAAGGACATCCAGTTGGCTCGGCGCATCCGTGGAGAGAGGGCATAGATCTGTTTAACGTGTATAGAATGTTGTAAGTCGTGGAGCTTCAAAGCCGCTCTTGACCTTTCACTTGGTCACTTTTTTTCAGGGGAAATACGCTTTTTTTTTTTGTATTTCTAGGATGGTCTGTCTGTTCGTTTCTGATCTGGCATACCGTAGCTGTGGACGATTTCTAACAGGGCATTTCTACATATCTGGTGTATGCTTTGTTGATCCTTGCAATCATCAATCAGTGCATGAACTATGAGATAATATGAAAGAAACACATGTTGCTTTCCAGCAGAGGCAAGTACGGTATGGTATTTGCGCACCAGAGGGCCATTCCTGGCTTAAAAATCGGTTGGGGCTCAACATTTGCCTGTTCTGATCTCGCCACCACCTGGTCGAGGATTGGGGAAGGGGGAGGGGAAGGTGTAGGGAAGGGAGGAGGGAAGAAAAAGGGCTGTTAGGATTGCAGTGTGAAGGGTTGCAGTGTTAAGGGTTTGCAGTGTTATGGTTTGCAGGGTTGCAGGTTCACAAGGCACTTACTGCAAGAGCTTGTCGCTTGAGGTGGTTCATCTGGCAGAATTGGCGCACGCGCTTCATGACAGAAAGAGGCAGAGGGCACGCGGGTGCTCCTCCCTCTCGCACCCATTCATGCTCTGTGCGGAGAAGAATGATTGTGGTGCGTGCACGTGTGAGAGTCAAAGTGAGAGTGTGCATGAACCTGTGAGCGTCAAAGTGAGTGAGTGTGCATGAACGTGTATTCAGAGGGAGTGTGTTTGTATGGGTGTGAATGCATACGCGAAAACACTCAATGGAAAGTCCAAATAAAAACACACTGATTCATGTGTTTTGAGTTGGGGTGCAGCGACCATCCAGCCAGCTCCCCCTTAAAACCAGGGTGCACATTCAACGCGGTTCGGCTTGAGATGTTGGGAAGGGGGTTTGGAGAAAAACAGTGATTGGCTCACGAGGGGCGACAAAAAAATGATTCCGCTAGAGCTTCGGGCATTTCGTAGGTGGCGGGAGGGGGTGAAATGGCGGGAGTGGGTGAAACCGAATGGCGGGAGGGATGAAACAGATTGGCGGGAGGGGGGGGAAACGAAATTGCGGGGGAGGGGGGAAACAAAATTGCGGGGGAGGGGGGAAACGAATTTCGACGGGGAGGGGGAAATGAAATTGCGGGGGCGTGGGGAAACGAATTTCGACTTGAAGGGGTTGAAAGCACACCTCGTAACCCACTCAGTCAAGGGATAACCTTTGATGCACATTCAGCTGAATGTGCACCCCGGTTTTAAGCACACCCGTTGCGTGCTCCCCTCTCGAACCAACTCCCTGTCCCCCTTTTCCCCCCCTGCTCCCCCCCTCTTCCTTCTTCCACAACACACATACTGAGGATCTCCCGTGTGGTTATTCGCCTGGAAGCATCCCCCCCAGCATGCGCCCCACGAGGTGCTTGGCTTGCTGGGAGATGGTCGGCCAGGTGGCGTGGCGCTGTCCACTTCCCCCAGGTAATATTGCACTACCCCGCAAGACACACACCCACCAACCAAGGATCCACTGTGTGCTGATTCGTCGGGCAGCGTCGCGTTGCTGTCCAGCATGTGCCCTACCAGGCACTTGCATGGGCTGCTCATCTCATCTCGTACCCTCAAACTGCTGGCCCAGACACACCCGCCTACCTAGAATCTCCTGGCTGGTGATTCGCCGGGCTGCATCGCTGCTCATCTGGTACTCTCCCCCTTCAGCACCACCTCACATATCCCCTCCTCTGGCACTGGTGGGGGTGAATGAAAGTGAAGGTGCGTGTGGAGGAGGAGGGGAGAAGGAACCAGGGAGGTGGGGATGGCAAAAGGAGGGGCCGTGCATGTGCAACTGCGGTACAGTGCAGACACTAGGAATCTCCAAACCGCGTTGAGGCGCTTTGATGTATCGATCGAGGCACTCGACTCGATGGTGGAAAAGCGGATGAGTTAAAGAGACGAAAGGCCATGGTATGGTTTGGTACGTTGCGAGTGGGTGAACTGAACCTCCCAGGGCAGCAATTGTATGTCTCTCATCCCTCTTATACGCGGTAGTACATATGCACATCTCAACGCAACCCACCATCCTAGCAGGGCGGGGTGCTGCACTGCAGCACGCATGTTATCACGCCAACCAAAGCTCCACATGACACTTACCGCTCAAGATACCATTTCTCCGCGTTGCACCACATCACCAGAGCATGGCATACCATCCCAGAAGGGCGGGGGTGCTGCACAGCAGCAGGTAGGCGATAACCCCAATGCTCCGCACATCACCCTCGCTGCCATAACTGCCTTGTCACATACCATACCCTGCACAACACCACCTCACTCACCGCATTCCACCACACACAACCGCCTCATCCCAACCCACCATCCCAGAAGGGTGGGGTTCCACACACACAGCAGCATGTAGGTGATCACTCGAACGCTCCACACGCCACACTCTGGCACCATGCATTCCCAACACACCATATCACCGCATTCCACCATACCACACACAACCAAATTCCATACCATCCCAAAATGGTGGGGTGCCGCACAGCAGCATGTTGGTGATGACTCCAACACTCCACACGTCACATTCCAACACTGCCATAGTCCCTCCCTCCTGAGCATCTCTGGCGCCACATAGTACGCACTGCCCACCACCTCCTTGAAACGCTGCCCTGGGATAGGCCGAGAGGGAAAACACGAGGGAGAGAAAAAGTGAGCCTAAGGGCGGAGGGAGGAGGGCAGCATGTGGGGAGGGCGCACTGCTCCCAGTTCCTCTAAGTGCCGCCCTGGGAAGACACGTGTGGGGGAAGTAATGAGTGCGAGTAGGAAGAAGCAAGGCAGGATGTATCACGGTGGGGAGACCGAACTGCCTAGTAGCTCCCTGCACCACGCCCTGCCTGTGCTTGCACTGCACTGCTTCACTCACACGCGGCCTCACAAGAAACCAGCACTCATGCCAGGCTCTAAGAGCTGCCCTCTGCCTTGATCCCATCGTATAGCATGCCGCCTGGGTTTTGAGAAGGGGTGAGGAGAGGCAGGAGAGGAGTGACAGAGAAGATGCCTTTTTCAATCATATGCAAAAAGCTGCCCTCCGCCTTGATCCCATCGTATAGCATGCCGCCTGGGTGGGGGGGGGAAGGGAGGGAGAGGAGAGGCAGGAAAGGAACTGGGTTCTTTGAATTGAATGCGAGCTGTCCTTCCGCCCATTCCACTGCATAACTTACCGTCTGGCAGGAGGGGCGGACAGGGAGAGGCGGGAAGGGTGAGTATTGCTGTAAGTCCACCTTTTCCTCCGCCCTCTTTCCTCTTTCGCTCTTTTTTCCCTCCTCCGCTCCTCCTTCCCTTGTCCGCTCCTCCTTCGCCTCTCCTCATGGGGTGGTGGGGATGGCTGGGAGTGGAGATGGGAGGGGTTGGGTGGGGGTAGGAGAACGAGGGGGAGGGGGAGGGGGAGGGGGGGGGGAAAGGGTTAGGGGGAGGGGGAGGGGGAGGGGGAGGGGGAGGGGGAGGGGGAGGTGGAGGGGGAGGGGGAGGGGGGAGGGGAGGGGGAGGGGGAGAGGGAGGAGGAGGGGGGGAAGGAGGGGGACGGGATGGGGAGGGGGAGGGGAATGGGGAAGGAGAGAGGGAGGGTGAGGCGGAGGGGAGATGCCCTCCATAGACTTGCCCGTGTCTGGCTTACACGACCCACCACACTACCATCATATCACCCGTGATACCCCATGGCTCCTCTCGCCCACCCACTCTAATTGTACCACCCAGCACCCCACCTATGTCACCAAGCACCCTCAAACACAACCCACCACCCCCCAACCCACCCCACCCCGCCACACCACACCACCCCAACATACCATCCCTCCTGCACACCACCCCTCCTGCACACCACCCCTCCTGCACACCACCCCTCTACCACACTCCCCTCCTGCGCACCTGTGCAGAGCTGCAGAATGAAGTGCACACACATGGCGTCCTCGTATTGGTCGATGAGCGTCGCAATGCCCGCATGGCCCGTGGAGAGACGAGCACGAATGGTGGCCTCCCGTGCCACGTTGGCAAATGACGTGGGGGACAGGTGATTTTGAATCAACGCAGAAGTTATCTCGGTTGTTGGGAGTCAGTCGTACTTGACGCTCGGATCGCCTTACCCCCCCGGGACGCCGCGCTGTTCCTATCTGCGCGCAGCAAAGCCTCGCTGGAGAAACACGCGCCCATGACGCCGCGCGCCGCCCGCGACGGCGACGGCGACGGAGACGGCGAACACGGACTGCCTCCTGCACATGCCGTGAAACAGCTTTGGATACTTCAGGCCGGCAGGCGCGAGTGCTTCGCATGGAATCGCAGGAGAAAGCCGGCTGGGCGAGGCCAGGATCACGTACAAGTGATAAGAAAACTGAACTGATCGCGCTGCGGCGGACTCGCGGCAGTCAGATGCGTGGACCGGGATGCATCGAGAGAGGTGCTGGGCGGGAGCGACAGAGTAGTGGCAGTGCGCGCATTGCGAGGGCAACGCAGAGCGACGGTGGTGATCGAGCAGCAGAGACGCGCTGCTGCTGCAGACAGACGTACGGGCTTGAGTTGGGGCGGACATGGATTGAGTAGAAGGGGCAATGAACCAGGTCGCGTCGCAAGTTCGCAAGGGGATGTGGTGTTTCGGGGTTGGCATGAACGAGGGCGTGTGGAGGGATTTTGATCATTCCTTCCAACTCTTCTCTTCTTTTGAGCGAGTCTGTTCATCACGAAGTGTTGTAACTGTTCGCTTCGACGATATGCAGTGCGATGCGGTAACACATTCAGGGTTTCAGAATGTTACTTTCACGTTTTGGAACGTTTTGGTAAGGTTTGATTTCACATTACTGCACATCCGTGGATTGCTGCTACTCCATTGTCAAGCATAGGCAGGCTATTGTACAGTAGTGCACTATTCTTTACAAACAATCAAATGGAGGCTCAAAATTTCCCAGTATGGTGCAGCTCCTGTATTCTGATCTCTGAAAGGTTGCTCAATAGCCCTGAACCTCTCCATGCATTGCCATCCTCCATACCCTCACGCATCATCCGACTGAACTCCTCCCGGTCAATGTGCCCACTCTGTAAGTGAGGGGCAGACGGGGAAGAAGAAAGGGGAGCAAGCGAAGGTGTGACTTGTAGGTTGTAGTAACTGGCCGTGGGAAGCTTGGGGAAAAAAAGCCAGATAGAGCAGGGTGCTTTTCTCACATGCTTGTTGCCAATCTCCTTGATGAGGCACTCCACTGTCTCATCACTCTCGCCTGCTGCAAGCGTGGCCTTCAAATCAGCCATTGTGATATAGCCACGCCCCTCCCTGGAACACACAGAGGGCAACGAGCACATGCATTAGCAGCAATTGCTTGAAAGAAGTGGTCCATGCAACCGGGACAAAGCTCGTAGCCCACATCACAATCTTGACCGTCTTCTATCAAACTATGTGATGGCATGTGTGCTTAACAAAAACATGTCTTCTGCCTGACTGCACAGGATTGCATTCTTTCTAACCTAATGGATGAGCAACAAAGTCAGCCTCGCGACAGCAGTGACCCACCCATCGAAGTGCAGGAACACCCACTCTATGCACGCACCACCATCCGTGCACTTCACCACAGTGGCTGCTGTACGCTCTGACTTTCGAGGCGTCTCAAAACTCACTTGTCAAAGTGCTTGAATGCCTTGTCTATGCACGCAGCATCCATGCGCTTCACCATGATGGCAGATGCGTACTCTGACAGGTCCAATGTGCCCGACCCCTTGCTGTCCGCCTGGCCTCCGACCGAGGGGGTGAGGTGCAAGAGAGAGGCAGGTTGAATCAGCAGTTGCACTAGCATTCACCCTATCTGTATGCGCACTGTCTTTGCTCTTCACTGTCTTTGCGCTTCACCATGATGGCCAATGCGTACTCTGACAGGCCCAATGTGCCTGACCCCTTCCTGTCCGCCTGGCCTCAGAGCGGCCGGGAGAAGAGAGAGGCAGATGGGGGAGTTGGTCAATCAAAGCGAGTTCGTCTCACCACTTTGACTATGTCTCGTTGTTGGAGAAAGGTTGGGGAGAGGGGAGAAAGGGGGGGTGGCGCATCTGCTGAAAGCCTGCTGTATGTGAGTCGTTGTGTCAATCATTGCAAGGACCTAGATAGGGCCGCCATTGCATGGGAACAAGTCTGTAATTGGGTCAAGGTGATGAAAGTGATGTTGGCTCAGCCTGAGTGGGGGTTGGCTTAGCTCATCATGAGTGGGGGATAACTTGGCGCAACAAAAACAGGAGGATAGCTTGACTCGCCTTCACTCAAAGCTTGGGTGATCTTTCGGGCCTCCTCCACTGAAAGCGGGATGTGCAGCGACTGAAACCCGACCACCAGACCAGACATCGAAATACAACCTTCCCTGTCAAGATACGCACTAGGAGAAAGCTTGGCTCACCGCCTGGATGATCTCTCGGGCCTCGTCCTCTGAGAGTGGGATGTGCAGCGACTGGAAGCCGGCAACGAGGTCCGACACGGAGATGCAGCCGTCCCTGTCGAGGTCGAGATGGTCAAAGCGTGTTCGAATCACTGCCATCTCCTCCTCGTCCAAACAGCACCCCGCCACCACCTGGTCGGGGATTGGGGGAGGTGGAGGGGAAGGGGGAGGGGAAGGTGTAGGGAAGAGAGGGAAGGGAAGAAAAATGTTAAGAATTGCAGGTGATTAATGTTGGAGTGTTAAGGGTTGCAATGTGAAGGGTTGCAATGTCAAGAGTTGCAGGTTCACAAGGCGCTTACGGCGAGGGCTCGTCGCTTGAGGTGGTTCATTTGGCAGAACTGGCGCACGCGCTTCATGACGGGAAGAGACAGTGGGCACGTTGGCGCTCCTCCCTCCCGCACCCACTCGTGCTCTGTGTGTGCGGACAGAGTGAGTGAATGAGTGTGAGGTGCAGATTTTGAGGCGCCTACAAAAAGGCCTGGCCCCGCTTGCACTCGTGCTCTGTGTGTGTGGACAGAGAGAGTGAATGGAGTGTGAGGGTGTCTGAACGTGTCAGTCAGAGCGAGTGTGTTGGTATGGGTGTGCAATGTACATGCATACATGAGGATGCGTGAGAGAAAGTCTTGATCTTTTTGCTTAAGTGTATTTTAAAGGTTTGATGCTACTCAAGACATGAATCTCGATGTATGGGTGTGCATGCATACATGAGAATGCGTGGGAGAAAGTCCACCTAAGCAAGGTTGTCAAGAGTTCCATTGAAAGACAGCCATTCAGCACCCCTCCAAGCACACCCATACGCCACGTTCTATGTACAAGCCCCCTTTCGACCTTCCCCGCCTTCCTCCCCCTTCCTCTTCCACCCCACCCCCTCCAAGACACACCCACCTCAAATTTCCTGTGTGGTGATTCGCCGGGCTGCATCGCTGTGCAACATGCGCCCCATTAGGTGCATCGCTGTGCAACATGCGCCCCATTAGGTGCATCGCTGTGCAACATGCGCCCCATTAGGTGCATCGCTGTGCAACATGCGCCCCATTAGGTGCATCGCTGTGCAACATGCGCCCCATTAGGTGCATCGCTGTGCAACATGCGCCCCATTAGGTGCATCGCTGTGCAACATGCGCCCCATTAGGTGCATCGCTGTGCAACATGCGCCCCATTAGGTGCATCGCTGTGCAACATGCGCCCCATTAGGTGCATCGCTGTGCAACATGCGCCCCATTAGGTGCATCGCTGTGCAACATGCGCCCCATTAGGTGCATCGCTGTGCAACATGCGCCCCATTAGGTGCATCGCTGTGCAACATGCGCCCCATTAGGTGCATCGCTGTGCAACATGCGCCCCATTAGGTGCATCGCTGTGCAACATGCGCCCCATTAGGTGCATCGCTGTGCAACATGCGCCCCATTAGGTGCATCGCCTGCTGGGAGACAGCCGGGCAGGGCAGGCAGGCACGGCTCATTGCCCCCAGCTAGTGAGCCGTGCCTGCATCTACCAAGACACACCCACACACCTACCAAGGATCTCCTGGGTGGTGATTCGCCGGGCTGCATCCCTCTCCACCATGCGCCCCACCAGGTGCCTCGCCTGCTGGGAGATGGCCGGCCGAGCCGGGCTGTCCCATGCCCCCAGCTAGTATTGCATAACACCCCAAAACACACCCGAGTCACTCCCAATGCACACCTACCAAGGATCTCCTGGGTGGTAATTCTCTTGGCAGCATCGCTCTCCAGCATGCGCCCCACCAGGTGCCTGGCCTGCTGGGAGACGGCCGGCCAGGGGGCACTGCTCATCTCGTACTCTCCCTTCAGCACCGCCTCACATATCCCCTCCTCTGACACTGGTGAATGGAGGATGGGGGGTTTTAAGGAAGGAGTGGGGAAGGTGCTACCCCTGCTGGGAGATGGCCGGCCAGGGGGCACTGCTCATCTCATACTCTCCCTTTAGCACCGCCTCACATATCCCCTCCTCCGATACTGGTGGGAGAATGAGGGAAGGACGGGGGTGAAGGGGCAAAGGTCCTTTGCCTGCTGGGAGATGGCTCGCCAGGGGAGGCTGCTCATCTCATACTCTCCCTTTAGCACCGCCTCACATATCCCCTCCTCTGACACTGGTGGGGGAGTGAGGGAAGGAGGGGGGAAAAGAAGGGGTGCAGGGGGGCCGAAGGTGCTTGGTTTGCTGGTCGAGGGCCGGTCGGCCAGGAGCAATGCTCAGCTCATACCGGCCCTTCAATACCATCTAACACATACCCTCCTCCGATGCTTTTGGGGGATGAGTGGGGGAGGGGGGGGGGGGGGGAGTGGAAGAAGGGGTGAAAGAAGGTGCATGGTTTGCTGGGCGATGGCCGCCCGGCCAGGTGGACTGCTCCATCTCGTACTCTCCCTTTAGCACCGCCTCACATATCCCTTCCTCCGATACTGATGTGGGTGATTGGAAGTGAGGGTGCGTCAGGAAGGAGGGGAGGGGAGGGGAGGAACCAGGAGAAGGGGACCACGAAAGAAGGGGTCGTGCAGCTGCAACTGAGGTACAGTGCAGTGCCTTTCAATGCCAAAGCGCTTTGATGTTTCAGGCACTCGACTCGATGGTGGAAAAGCGCAGGAGCCAAAGATGTGAAGGCCATGGGATGGTACGCGTCAAGTGGGAGATTTTAGAGTCGGCCCAGAACATAGAGTTGGAAGGCCATGGTATGATGTAGTACGTGGCGGGTGGAGTCAACTCACACATCTCTCATACGTGGTAGTTCACATGCACACGTGATGGTGGACGCTGAGAATCGAACCCAAGACCTTTAATGTTCTTGAGATAACGCAGGTCCCAGAGAAATTTTGAGACACAGGAATCTACCATCTTTGCCAACATACTTTATGACCGTATTCCATTATACCGCCCCACCTCAACAAAACCCACCATCCCAGAAGGGGTCGGTGCCGTACAGCAGCATGTAGGTGATTATGCCAGCGCTTCACCACACGTCACACTTGCTGCCATAACTGCCTCGCCACACACCGCACCATGCACTACAAGAAAGCACCGCATTCCACTGCATCACACCCTGCGCTATGCCATATCACCTCACTACACTGTACCACACCTTAACATACCATCCCAGACTGGCGGAGTGCCACACACACAGCAGCATGTAGGTGATCACCCCAACGCTCCACACATCGCACTCCCACCATGCATTCCCAGCACTCCATATCACCTCATTCCACCATACAACACACAACCAGATCCCAGCGTACCATCCCAGAAGGGCGGGGTGCCGCACAGCAGCATGTATGTGATGACTCCAACGCTCCACACGTCACACTCGCTGCCATAGTCTCTTCTCAACACCTCTGGCGCCACATAGTACGCACTGCCCACCACCTCCTTGAAGCGCTGCCCTGGGAGTGACGTGGAGTGAGGAGTGCGATTGGAAGAAGAGGAGGGAGGAGGTTATCACTCCAATGCTCTACTTTATCACACTCGCTGCCGTAGTCTCTTCTCAGCACCTCTGGCGCCACATAGTACGCACTGCCCACCACGTCCTTGAAGCGCTGGCCTGGGGAGAGAGAGACACGGAGTCAGGAGTGAGAGTAATGGAGGTGAGGGAGGAGGGAGTGATGACTTCAACACTCCACACGTATGCAGTGATGGGGAAGAAATAGGTGGTGGGAAGAGCTGAGGAGTTAGAGTACGCATAAGGGAATTGAAAGGGATGTGTCACGGTGGGGAGGACGCACTGCCCACGACCTCCTTGAAGTGCTATGCGGGTGAGGAGGAAGAGACAAGGCAGAGAAAGAGTAGGCCTAAAGGGATGTGTTATTGTGGGATGTGTCACGTTGGGGAGTGGAAAGTGGAGAGTCCAGATTTTACTTGAAGTTGCATACCGGGACACGCACATGCACTTAAGCTTCAGCACGCACTAAAGCACTGGCACATACTGGCACACTCGCCTGGCAGCACTGCACCGCACTGCACCGCACTGCACTGCACTGCACCGCACTGCACTGCACTGCACTCCCTCCCATGTGGTTTCACTGCACCTGCCAACGAAACACACGCACCTGGCCTGAAGAACGTGGAGAGCCCAATGGCTATAGCCATGAGCGGTGCGTCGTCCCCCGGGTGCAGCAGCAGGGAGTTCTCGAGCTTGAGATCCTGATGCACCCCACCCCACCCCACCCTGCCCTTCAGAAGACATGCTGAGGACCGACACGTACACACCTTGCTCAAAGAATGTTGAAAGCTCGAAATCGATGGCCATGAGCGGTGGGAAGTTCTCGAGCTTGAGATCCCGATGCACCACTTCAGAAGGCATATTGAGGCTCAACATGTACATACCTGGTTGAAAGAAAGTGGACAGGCCAAAGTCGATGGCCATCAGAGGGGCGTCCTCCCCTGAGTGCAGCAGCAGAAAGTTCTTTAGCTTGAGATCCCGATGCACCACTCCCCGCTCATGCATGTACTGCACCGCCTGCACTATCTGCCGCACCATGCCGGCCGCGCGCTGCTCACTGTAGCTGCCCTCCGCCTTGATGCCATCGTACAACATGCCACCTGTGAAAAAGGGGAGGGAGGCAGGAAAGGCAGGAGAGGCAGCGGAGATGGATTCCTTGCCACCTGTCAGGTGCTCCCACACTTGCCTTTCCCCTGTCATATGCCGAACCGCATGGCTGGCAGGAAGAGATGCAGGGAGGACGAATATAGCTTCCACTCTACCTCCTCTCCTCCTTCCCTCCTTCCCGACTTGAGGGGGAGGGGGAGAGGGAGTGGGAGGGGGAAGGGGAGGGGAAGGGGAGGGGAAGGGGAGGGGAAGGGGAGGGGAAAGGGAGACGTTCCATGAAGGAATGGTCTGCCTGGGCTGGTAAGCCTGCCTTGTCTCATGCCCATGATAAGAGCATCTGTGATACGCCACATTCCCCCTTTTCCACTCCACCTGTGGTGCTGAACACAATCGAACACACCATCCCATCACACCACCCCACCCATCCAACATGCCACCCCTCCTGCACACCTGTGCAGAGCTGCAGAATGAAGTGCACACACGTGGCGTCCTCGTATTGGTCAATGAGCGTTGCAATGCCCGCATGGCCGGTGGAGAGGTGGGCGAGAATGGCCGCCTCCCGTGCCACGTTGGCACATGACGTGGGGGACAGGTGGCGCTGGTGGGAGGTGGGCAGGTGGGGAACGGTGGAATGTGGTGGACAGGCGGGCGAGAATGGCGGCCTCTCGTGCCATGTTGGATTGGCACATGGCGTGGCGGACAGGTGGCGCTGGTGGGAGGAATGCAGGTGGAGAGTGGTGGAATGGGGTGGAGAGTGGTGGAATGGGGTGGAGAGTGGTGGTGCATCGTGCCACGTAGGCACACAACGTGGGGAAGAGGTGGTGTTGAAGGGGAGTTGGGTCTGGTTGGAAACGGTGGGTTGGGGTGGAAAGGTGTGGGCAGGAGGCGGCCTCACCTTGGTGATGGTCTTGCAGGCAAAGTGCTGCTGAGTCTGGCGGTGCCTTGCCATGTACGTGATGCCATACAGGCCCCGCCCCAGCTCCTTGCCTGTAAGGGAGACAGGTGGGGTGGGGTGGAGTGCGGTGGATGGATGTATGCACACATGCCAAACGTTGAGTCACTCGCAGTGGATGCCTAATCGTGCCTTGCCATGTACGTGATGCCATACAGCCCCCCCCCAGCTCCCTGCCTGTATGGGAGCGAGGTGGGGTGGGATGGAGTGCGGTGGATGCATGCACACAGGCACACATGCCCAAGAAGTGAGATGCCCAGCGGTGCCTTGCAATGTACGTGATGCAGTACAGCCCCGCCCCAGCTCCCTGCCCCGCCCCAGCCCCAGCCCCAGCTACCCACATGCCCCGCCCCAGCTCCCTGCCTGTATGGGAAAGAGGTGGGGTGGAGCGTGGTTGATGCACGCACACATGCAAACACGCACATATGCACATACGCCGCAGGCATGTACACATGCACGCACACATGCGTCAAAAGGGCAGTGGCGTCATGTGATGCGATGTGACGCGGTGTGATGCGATGTGATGTGATGTGATGTGGTGTGATGTGGTGTGATGTGATGTGATGCGATGCGATGCGATGCGATGCAATGCGATGTGATGTGATGTGATGCGATGCGATGCGATGCGATGCGATGTGATGTGATGTGATGTCATGTGATGCGATGTGATGTGATGTGATGCGATGTGATGTGATGTGATGCGATGCGATGCGATGTGATGTGATGTGATGTGATGTGTGCTCCCATACCCTGCCCACTCTGCTGGAAGGCCACACACATCCCTTCAAGCTTGCCTCCGCACCGCCCTTTCCCCATTCCTCCCCTCACCCATCTCCGTTCTCCCCTCACCTTTCTCACATTCATCCCCTCACCCATCTTCCATTCCTCCCCTCATTCATCTCCCATTCCTCCCCTCACCTTCTCCCATTCCATCTCCCATTCCTCCCCTCACCTATCTCATAATCCTCCTCCACTGCCCGAAACGGCTGCCCCAAAAGGTTCTCGGGCGCGCGGGGAGCGCCCTTGCGCGCTGCGCAGGACGACCGGGGGGCGGGGAAGGGGGGAGAAGGGGAGGGGCGCAGGAAGACGCGCCTCGGTAGGGGAAGGGGAAAAGGTACGGGTGGAGTGAAGCGCGAGGTCCGGAGAAGGGCTGATTGGTCAGCGACGTATGAGCATCAGAAGTGAATGTAAATCTGGCGCTGCTTGGGAGATTTTGAATTGACGTAGTTATTTGCCCATTCCTCTCGGGCCCCGTAACTTGTCGGATGGACCCCCCCGTAAATCTCGTACTGCCTTACCCCCCCGGGACGGCGTGCTGCTCCTATCGGCGAGCAGCAAAGCCTCGCTGGAGAAGCACGCGCCCATGCACGCCGCGCGCGACGGCGACGGCGACGACGACGGCCACGGCGACGGTAAACAAGGACCGCCGCCCGGAGTCTTCAGGCAGGCAGGCGCGAGTGTTTTCGCATGGACTCGCAAGAGAAACGCGGCTGGGCGAGGCCAGGATCACGTATACTACAGGGTAAGCCAACTGAGTTGGTCATGCCGCGGCGGACCCGGATGCGTCGAGACGGGCGGTGAGCGGGAGCGATATTGAGTAGTGAGAGTGCGCGCATTGCGAGGGGCAATGCGGAAAGACGGTGGTGATGGAGCAGCAGAGACGTGCTGCTGTAGAGACAAGGACCGGCTTGGGGCGGTCATGGATGAAGAAGGGGCAATGAATCAGGTCGCATCGCAAGTTCGCAAGGGGATGTGGTGCACTGGGGTTGGTACGAGCAGGGAGGAGGGATTTTGATAACCAACTCTTTTGCACCAGTGAATGTCGCGTTCATCAGGAAGTGATGAAACTGTTTGCTTCTTTGCGGTGCAATGCGATGCGGTAAGACATTCGGGATTTAGGAAGGTTACTTTCACGTTTTGGAACGGTCTGGTATGGTTTGATTTCACTTCACTTCCGTGCATTCCTGCTGCGCTGCTCCATTGAGTGCGCGCCAGACAACTTTTTGTATGGATGTCAGAGTGTGAGACTGTGCTTGCCTGGATGCGACTGTATTGAGCAGAAACGAATATTCCGCTGACCGTCATGCGGGCTTCAGAAACTGATTGGACGAGTGATCCGCGGGATGGGATGATCTGGGCACAAATAGACATGATGCCCAACCCGTGCACGCGAATTTGCCCTGCACCGGATGGAAACCCTGCACCCGAGGTTTTTTCCCCAGCCAGTTGCACGCCCGTTACAAGCACGTCGCGCAAGCTGCAGTGGTTATGAACCAATAGTAAGGAAAAGACCGATTTCACACTGAAGAGACTGAAGTCAAAATGTCAACGGATAGGTTACAAAGGTTTTATAAGCACCTGACGAATCCTTTTTTGCTAGCTGCGAATCGACGAAATTTAGGCGAACTTTGGGTTACATATTATAAGCCCCCTTAACAGGGCAACCGGGAGTGGCTCAAACGGGCATCATGTGGTTTTGTGGGCGGGTGAGGAGGATGGGCCGCTGAAGCCGCAGGCCTGACCACAAAACGATGGGGGTGCGGCGGGTGAACGCGAAAAGCCGAACACGTGGTTTCGCTCACAGCGCACACGCTTGTGTCAGTTCTACCAAACCGCTGTCTCGGCTACACGCACACAGAAAAGAAAAGAACCTTACATGTATATTGTATTCCCAAAACTTATTTCCTGACCATCCAAACTGAATGTTATTTCCTGTGCCAGCTTCACGATGTCTAGTACCGTATTGGCTGTTCACTTAACTGCAACAATAAACTCAGGTTCCCCATACTTCCTGAACTGACATTGCCTGGCCCAATTAAATTTTGAAACATGCACAAACCGAACCATGAACGATGAACCTTGTATGACATACCAAATCCATATGTGGAATACAGACCATGCACCACGAAACCCCACCTCACCGCGCTAAGACACTATCCGATCAATACCAGCCACCATCTCCTCTACACATATCCCCGTGCAGCCTGCACATCATCCAACCTGGCCTGCTCAAACACATAGTACATGGACAGATTCTGCATCTTGTCTCCCTGCTGATGCAAAATACATGCCATGCCGCCTGTGCTCTTCGCGCGCACCATCGCCTCTCCACCCTTCCCCACCACTTCAAACTCCTCCCAAGGATACCCCCCCAGGTGCGTGAAGAGCGTGTTGTAATGATCCAGCTTCATGAACGGAGCAGCCATGACAGACGGAGCATCCTTCTGCCCCGCCTCCATCGCCTCGCTGATCACCTTCTCTTCTGACGCGGGCGGCAGCCGGTGGAACGGCGACATGGTCGTGTTGTACCGCACGGGGCGCGGGTTGCGCCACGGCTTGCGGAACGGTGAGTCGGCAAATTTTTCCTGGGCGGCCACAGCCGCAGTGACATTACCCATGCTGTTGAGGGCGGATTCGAAGTCGCTGGGTTCAGGGTAGGGCACGCGGGGGAGGTGCCTGAAGAGGTACTGCTGGCCGATAAGCCCGAGGGTGTATGCACGCTGGTCTTGCATGCAGTCTCCCACGTATGTCGCGTCTATGATCTTAGCCAGGGCCCACGCGTATCCCACGTAGGCTCCGGAGTTCAGAAACCAGTTCTTCGTCTCGTTGATTTTCCGAGGGTAAAAAACCTCGATTTTCCGCCAGTCCGGGTAGCAGAAGATCTCCCCTCCGAATGCCACGGGCGCATTGAGGGAGAGGAACGCCTCTACGAGATTCTCCGGGCGGCAGTGGGGGCCTGGCATGAGGAAGGCGTCGTCGGCGTCGGTGGAAATGACAATGCGGTCGGGCGGCAGCGAGCGGAGGTAGTCGCGGATAGTCCGCATGCGGCCGCCCTGGCCTCTCCAGGGCACACCCACCCCCACCACGGCGAACGGAATGGCCGCCATGTGCGCGAAATCCGCCATTCGAACCATGCTGAGTCCGCAGTCAGAAGAGTAGATGATCCACTCCACGCAGCAGGAGGAGTAGGAGAATTTGCCACGTGGCACAGGATGCATATCCCAGGGGTCCACGTCAGCGTCGTATTTTACCGCGCAGCCGTCCCTTCCCGGATGCTCCTTGAGCTGCAGCCGATGCAGCACCCGGCCTCGCTCCACCCCGGCCTCCCCTCTCTTAATCGCCGCTTTAACTATGTGCGAGCACGGCATGCGATGCGACGACGGCACCGCGAGCTTGACCCAGTGGCCCATGGGCTGATTCACGCACGAGTCCCAGTGGTCCCTAAACTCCTCGACACGTGGCGTGAGATTAGTGGCCTTCAGGGCCCAGTAGCTCACGCTGAGGAAGGCAATGATGGCGAGGCAAGCGAGGAGGCATGTAACGCGGATGATCGTGCCTAGGAGGCGGGAGGAGAGGAAGGAGGGAGAGGAGGAGGAGGAGGAAGAAGAGGAGGAAACTGGGGATCCAGCCATTGCGCGTGCTGATACACGGAAGTTGACGAGACGTAACTTGTAAGACGGTTGAAATGACGAGGCTACGAGACCAGCGGAAGGAGGGTTTTACGAACGCGCGGTGGGAGGGATGGATGTGGCAATGAAACTCCTGAGGAAATGTCGCGAGCGACTGATTGTTGCGAGAGAGAATGGCGACTGAATGGGGTGGAGAGGAGCACGATAGTAAGGGTTACAGCGCATTTCGCATTTTGCACGTCTTGGGATAGTCCTGCAGCTTCGAACCGCGAATCGCGGCCCGACCGCAATGAAAGCAGCACTGAGAGATGTAGAGCGACGAGCCCTGGTACCTAAGGCTATTTTAGGTCTGCGGCATGGTGTGGTGTGAGAGAAATCGCGGAGATTGGATGTTGCCTGTTGGGTTGGACAACAAAAGCTGCGAAAATAGTTGTGGTAGGCTCGTGAAAGCTGTCGCTACGTTACAAGTGTCGTGACGCGGTTGTCTTCGGGTAACAATAGGGTGTTTCCGGTCGAACGAAAACAGAAGTGACTTCGCTCTATCGCCCTGTCCACTTCCGTGCTCAGATCTCCAGCGTATTACCCTCAACCCTAGCCCAGTGGCACTGCGACGAGGCTCGCAGGTTACCAGATCAACTCGGCTCGAATTTCTCGCTGGCATGCTGGTCCATCCCTCGGAAAGTCACAATGCGCCTCTCCTATGCTCCCGTATCTCGAGTCCCCACCACAAGAGATGTTGCAGATAGCAGCACTGGACTGGAACCAAATCCCCAAGTAGTAAATTGTTGCGCCTGCCTGCTTGATCAACAATGCCGTAGCACCGCACGCCACCGCACTGTATCCCTCCGCGAAATGATCGCTCGCGCCGCGCCTCTGGCTTCGCGCGTCCCCCGCTCCAGCGTGTTCGTGCCACTGCCAGCATTTCCTTCTGCGCGTCGTCTGATTTCTTCCTTTCCTGTAGCTTCCATCGCGAGCGATTTGATCGACTGTGTCACTCCTGGCACGCGTACTTTGCTACTTAGTGCACATAGTAGTCTTAATTGCCTCCGTTCGTCCAGGTCCAGTTTCAGTAATCTTACTCTGTTCACGCATTCGCGCGCTGAATTGATCGCGACTCGTCGTCTAAACGAAGCGGGCGTAACGGCAAGTGCGGCAAAATCCTTCCATCGCGCTAGCGAGGAAGATTCTAACGAGGACGAATCGAAACCTCCCCCCGCGAGCGGGCCGACCAAGACCGTGAAGATCTTCTGCGCTAAGTGCCAGCAGCAGCTATACTGGTACCGCAAGGGCGGCAACGGGGCATTAGTTAAGTGTTTCGTAGAGCGCATTGCGGAGGATTTCACGGCGGGGGACATGAAGTGCCCCGCGTGCGGGTCGGAGTTTGCGCGGATGCGCATGATCAAGGGAAAGCCCGCGCACAAGATCGTCGGGGGGAAGGTGTTCATGCGCAAGTGAGCGCGCGCAGGCGCAAGTGAGCGCGGGCAGGCGCAAGTGCGCGCGGGCAAGCGTGAGTAGTGAGCGCGGCAGGCCTGGGGAGTGCGGAAAGAGTTGCGCGGAGCCGTTTGGGTCCACCTTTGCAGCCCTGCTGTTCTGCTACAGTGCTGCAGTCCTACGTTGCTGCCCTGCCTCGTCATCGCCACTTCATTGAGTTCGCGAATTCGCCATGAGGCGAGCCTCGGTGAGAAGAACCGCCCTCCTCCTTCCCCACCCAGCTCGCAATGATAGCACTGCTGGTTCACGGCATTTCACGGGCTATTAACACATAATTTTCTGGCTGACACCACGCCCTTTTGCATAGCTCCCAAAGTGTCTCTCTCTACCCTCCTGCCAGCACGGTCCCCTCTCGCACTCGCATCTTCATGGTTGCTCTCCACAACCCACCGATCTCACCTTCGTGATCCCCCCCTCCCCCCTCTCCTCCCTGTCGCCAATCCTTTCTCTCGATTGCGCTGCGCCCCCAGCAACCAACGCATACTGCTCTGGTCTGGTCAGTCACTGCAAGGCCTCTCCCCCCTCCCTGCCGCTGCTGCTGTCACCATCCTCTCCCTTTCCTCCCTGCCACTCTTCCCTCTTCCCCCCATCTCCCCTCCCAGCAACCAGCGCACTCCTCGCTGGTCCTCGGCCAGTCACTGCAAGGCTTCTCCCCCCTCCCTGCCGCTGCTGCTGTCACCATCCTCTCCCTTTCCTCCCTGCCACTCTTCCCTCTTCCCCCCATCTCCCCTCCCAGCAACCAGCGCACTCCTCGCTGGTCCTCGGCCAGTCACTGCAAGGCTTCTCCCTCCTCCCTGCCGCTGCTGCTGTCTCCACGCCTCTCGCCTCCTCCCCCTCCTGCTCCTACCCCTCCTTTGCCGCCTCACGCAGCACCAGCAGCACCAGCGGTACCACCAGTGGCAGCAAGGGCAACAAGGCAGGGGAGTGGCGTGTGTGGCGGTACCTCCGCCACCGATGGCGCTGGCTCTCCGCCTCCTCCCCTCTCCCTTCCTCCTCTCTCCCCTCCTCCCACCATGGGCAAGCGCGTGGCAGCAGCAGCAGCAGCAGTTTTGGGCTTCATTTTGGGTTGGGTGGGGCGTCACTTGGAAGCAGCAGCAGTGGCTTTGGTAGGGCAGGGAGGGGGGTGGTGGTGGAAGGAAGGAGAAGGCGCGTGCGGCGGTGGGTGGTTGTGCTGGCGGCAATGGTGCTACTGGTAGTGCTAGCAGGTGCTGCAGCCATGGGTGTGCGTCATGCCGCCTCGTTAATTCTCCACCGCGACAGCCTGAGTGGCACGAGTGGTCAAAGTGCAGGTGAGAGAAAATGAGGCAGTGCTGCTGATAGTGGCACTGGTGGCGCTGGCGGTGGTGCTAGCAGGTGCTGCGGTGGTGGGTGCTGTGGTCGTGGCGAGAGTGCTGTGTGCTACCTCACTGGTCCTCTCTCACATGGCAGGCAGAGAGCAAGTGGGCGGAGTGAAGGTGAGTTAAAGGCGCCTCAATTATTGTGCCGTCTCACTGGTCGTCTACAGTGGCGGGCAGAGCAGCACGAGTGGGAGGCGTGCAGGTGGAGGAGAGAGAGGGGGTATGGTAGGCGTGAGCATCGGCTGTACAGCTCATGCCTGGTGCACGGAGGCCAGGGTGGAAGCGCAGGTGCTTAAAGGAAGTTACGGAGTGAGTTGAATTTCTGGGTTGGTTCAGGACGAGAGGTGGTCGCTGGAAGGAACGAGAAGTTGACTGGGAGGAGCGAGAGGGGCGAGAGAAATAGGTGAGGCACGCAGGGCAAGGAGCATTACCATGCATGTCCATACACAGTCAGAGCTTGCAACTCTTCACCTCTTCTTGCATCCCTGCTTCTGCCTGATGCCCTGATCTCTCTTTGCCACCCCGTAGGTACAGTCACAGCAAGCAACAGGCTCCCAGGCTTCACATCCCATGTGGATTCTACTACCAAGCACGCGGGGAGCAGCAGCAGCAGTGATAGTGGTGGTGGTGGCGTTGGTGGCGGCAGCGGGAACAGAAGTCATGGAGTGGCGATTGACAGAGGGATAGAGGAGGAGGGGTCGATGCTGGGGTTGGCTGTAGACTGGAGCGAGGAGGAGCGGGGGAGGATGGAGAGGCGAGGAGGGGTAGGGACGGGGACAAGAGGGGTGGAGAGAGGAGAGGATACAGGGGAGTTTTGGGTGAGGCGGCGGGTGGGGGAGTGAGAAGAGCCGGGGAGAGAGTGGGTAAGGAGCGTGCTGTGAGAGGAGGGAGAAGGAGAGCGGGTGGCAGAGGGAAGAACGGTGGGATCAGCAACAGTAGGGGGTTGCAGGAAAGGAGGAGGAAGCGAGGAGGAAGGAGAGGAGGGGTTGGGGGAGGGAAAGAGGGAGGGCGAGTGAGGGATTGTGAGGGGGTGATGGTGGGGGAGTGGCCGGGAGTGGATGGGTTGGCAGCAGTGGGGGCACTCATGGCTGTGCGGGGGAGGCGAGTGAGGGAGGGAAGAGGAGGGGAGAGGGGCAGGGCGGGGAGCAAGAGCGGTGGTGGTGGTGCTGGTGTTGGGGGTCAGAGCAGCAACAGCAGCGGTGTTCCTTCCCTTGTGTGTGTATATATATGCCATCATCCTAACTTTCGTCGTCTGTTTGTTTTGCAACTTTCTCTGACGTTTGTTTCCGAGATACAACGCATTGTAGCTGCTTCAGGAGGATTACAAAGGCGATTCATTATGGCCGATTGACAGCTGCTGCGTCGTTGACTGCGTGCATGCTCCTTCTCCCGCCTTTCCCTTCCTTCTCCCTTCCTCCTCTCCGCTCTTCCTCTCCTCCTCTCCTCTCCTCTCCTCCTGCGCTTCATCACCCACCCTGCGCCTCCTCTCCTCTCCTCTCCTCTCCTCTCCTCTCCTCTCCTCTCCTCTCCTCTCCTCTTCTCTCCTCTTGTCGCCCAAGCCCCTTCCACGACCAGCATCACCCACCATCGTATCCCTCCCTCCCTCCCCAACCTGTAAACATCTCCCCAATTCTTTCAGCTCCTGTGCAGTGGTGGGTCCTCACCTCTCCCATGCGCCCTCCGTGCCTCACCTCTCCACCCCTCTGCACCATCCCTCGCCCCTCCCCCCCATCCCATCCTCCCCACCCATTCCCACTCCCAATCAGCTCCTGTGCCGTGGTGGGTCCTCACCTCTCCCATGCACCCTCCGCGCCTCACTTTGGGGCAGCCATTGACTCGCACTCCCTCGTGCTGCGCAAGGGGCAGCGCACCCCGCCCACCCGCCTGCAGGCCTACGTGTGAGCGAGTGAGTAAGTGAGTGCGTTGGTGCGTTCATGTGTCGACTCGCACTCCCTCGTGCTGCGCATGGGGCACTGTACCCCACCCACCCGCCTGCAGGCCTATGTGTGAATGAGCGGAAGTTGCATTGCATGTGCTGTGTGCATGCACGTGTCAACTCGCACTCCCTCGTGCTGCGCATACACCCCGCCCACCCGCATGCATGCCTACCTGTAAGTGCATTATCTGAGTCATCTAAAGAAAAGCACGCCTACGTGTGAGTGCGTTGTTTGAGTCATAACAAAAACAAAATAGCATGCCTATGTGTGAGAGCGTGGAACATCAGTGCTCTGGGTGCTTGCATTGGTGCGTGAAGGCCTGTGTGTGAACGCGTAGAAGATCAGTGCACTGAATGCGTGCGTGCGTGTTTTGACTCGCACTCCCTCCCTTGTGCCATGCCTGTGCCATGCCTGGGGCAGCAATACGCCTGAGGTGGGGGGAAATGGAAGGAGGAGCCTCCTTTTCAAGGGGAAATGGAAGGAGGAGCCTCCTTTTCAAGGGGAAATGGAAGGAGGAGCCTCCTTTTCAAGGGGAAATGGAAGGAGGAGCCTCCTTTTCAAGGGGAAATGGAAGGAGGAGCCTCCTTTTCAAGGGGAAATGGAAGGAGGAGCCTCCTTTTCAAGGGGAAATGGAAGGAGGAGCCTCCTTTTCAAGGGGAAATGGAAGGAGGAGCCCCCTTTTCAAGGGGAAATGGAAGGAGGAGCCTCCTTTTCAAGGGGAAATGGAAGGAGGAGCCTCCTTTTCAAGGGGAAATGGAAGGAGGAGCCTCCTTTTCAAGGGGAAATGGAAGGAGGAGCCTCCTTTTCCCGAATCACAACTCCGTCTTGCTCTCTCCCCACTCCCCCTTATCTCTCCCTCCCCCCACCAACCTTGGCAGTTGATTCGACGTGTGGGTGGAGGTGGGAGGGGGGAACGAAGGGGGGGAGCAACCCTCTCATTCTGACTCGCAAGCTCCCTCGTGCTCTCTCCCTTCCCCCCCTCATCTCCCCCTCCTTCCCTCATTTCCTCCTCCCCCATCAGCCTGGGCAGTCTTCCATATGTGTGGGTGGAGATGGGGGGATGAAGGGGAGGGGCCCTTCATAGCAGAACGCACAAGGCCTTCTTTCTCAATCCTCTCTCCCTTTCATCTCTCCCTCCCTCTCGCCCCCCACCAGCCTGGGAAGTCGCACTGATGTGTGGGTGGAGGTGGGGGGGAAGGGAGGAGGGCCCCTTTCCTTATGAGTCAAAAATCCCTCTTTCTCTAACCCTTCTCCCATTTCTCCCTCCCTCCCTTCCTGCACCAGCCTAGGAAGTCGCACTGATGTGTGGATAGAGGTGGGGGGAAGGGGGGGAGGGGGCCTGCACGGCACACACGAGGTGGGGGGAGGGGGTGGAGGTGGTGGCACGGGGAGGGGGCTCACCAAGGGAGTGGGGGGAGGAGGGGGGAGAGGGGTGGGGAGAGGGGTGGGGCGGCGACGCTTGCTGGGGCTGAAGGGCCGATCGGTGGCATACCTACGTGCTGACAGGTGAGAGTGTAGGGAGTAAGAGTGTGGGGAGTGACTATAATTTGACTAAAGGAGAGACATATGGCTTTTGAGCTGACAAAATGTAAAATTTCTGGGGTTGAAGGGCCGATCGGTCGCATACCTACGTGCTGACAGGTGAAGTGTGGGGAGTGAGAGTGTGGGGAGTGAGAGATTTGAGGGTAAGAGTGTGGGGTGTGATTATGATTTGACTCAGAAGTAATTTTTCTGAAGCTCATGAATCCACTCTGTGACATACCTGCGTGCTGATAGGTGTGAGGAGTGAGAGAGTGGGGAGTGAGAGTGGGGAGAGTGAGAAGTGGGGAGTGAGAGTGTGGGAGTGAGAGTGTGGGGAGTGAGAAGCGGGGGTGCGAGTATGGGAGTAAGAGTGTGGGGAGAGAGTGAGAGGAGCGATAGTGTGGGGAGTGAGAGTGTGTGGAGTTACACGAGCCGGGTGGGCCCGGGTCGGCTCAGTTCTGGTCGCATCGGGTGGGGGGGTTGCGTCTCAAGCCATCTGTCTGGCGAGCCACGATTGACTGGACTGGAGTACATAGGAGGGTTCACAGGGGGGAGCCTGTGCGTATTGATGTGTGGAGATGCATGAAGATGAGAGAAGATGGGTGGGGTTGGGATGAGATGTGTGTGAGATGAGGAGAGGAGAGGAGAGGAGATGAAACGAGAGTGACACTTTCAGCCTAAAGAGACGTACAAGGGACCGGTCACCATCTCAGGTTAGTAATCTTTTTGTCTACTCATTAGTCACGAAAGCTTTTCACTCTTCATTGTATGGCACGAGTTGAATCGAGTCAGATCGACATTAGACTGATTGCGTGCTATCATTAGGCTTAGGTCCGACGTTGAGAAAAAGGGGGAGAGCCTAGTCAAGTCGGCGAGACGAGTCAAATCCTTCCCCCATTTCTCAACATCGGATCTTCCCCTTTTGAGAATTCTCTGAAGGATCTTCCCCTTTTGAGAATTCTCTGAAGGATCTTCCCCTTTTGAGAATTCTCTGAAGGATCTTCCCCTTTTGAGAATTCTCTGAAGGATCTTCCCCTTATGAGAATTCTCTGAAGGAACTTCCCCTTTTGAGAATTCTCTGAAGGATCTTCTCCTTTTGAGAATTCTCTGAAGGATCTTCCCCTTTTGAGAATTCTCTGAAGGATCTTCCCCTTTTGAGAATTCTCTGAAGGATCTTCCCCTTTTGAGAATTCTCTGAAGGATCTTCCCCTTTTGAGAATTCTCTGAAGGATCTTCCCCTTATGAGAATTCTCTGAAGGATCTTCCCCTTTTGAGAATTCTCTGAAGGATCTTCCCCTTTTGAGAATTCTCTGAAGGATCTTCCCCTTTTGAGAATTCTCTGAAGGATCTTCCCCTTATGAGAATTCTCTGAAGGATCTTCCCCTTTTGAGAATTCTCTGAAGGATCTTCCCCTTTTGAGAATTCTCTGAAGGATCTTCCCCTTTTGAGAATTCTCTGAAGGATCTTCCCCTTTTGAGAATTCTCTGAAGGATCTTCCCCCTTTTGAGAATTCTCTGAAGGATCTTCCCCTTTTGAGAATTCTCTGAAGGATCTTCCCCTTTTGAGAATTCTCTGAAGGATCTTCCCCCTTTTGAGAATTCTCTGAAGGATCTTCCCCTTTTGAGAATTCTCTGAAGGATCTTCCCCTTTTGAGAATTCTCTGAAGGATCTTCTCCTTTTGAGAATTCTCTGAAGGATCTTCTCCTTTTGAGAATTCTCTGAAGGATCTTCTCCTTTTGAGAATTCTCTGAAGGATCTTCTCCGCCAACGTGCGATGAGACAAGTCAAGACTCCCCTCGCTTGCTCGTGGGTGTTGTGGTGGCCATGGTGACCATGTGACCATGACTTACTATGTTGAAAACACTTTTGAGAATTCTTTAAAGTGATTCCAACGTTGTGTGGTGGCCATGGTGACCGCGATTTACTATGTTGAAATCACTTTTGAGAATTCTGTAAAGTGATTCCAACAGTGTGGTGGCCATGGTGACCGTGACGTGACTTGCTGCAAGGCCCCTCATTATCCCCCTTCGCCTTCCCTTCCGCCCTGCACCTTTACTTCCACCCTCCCAAAACCCCCCCACCTCTCGCCCTCCTCTACTCCCCCCCCACCTTCCCACTGCCCTCCAGCTCGGGCCTTCTTGCGTCACCGGTCTGGCTGCCAGCGCTGCAGCAGCTGGGTGTGAGCAAGGGGCACGCGGGCAGGCAACGCGGGGACTCGGGTGCAGGGGAGGGGGATGAGGTGAGCGAAAAATAACCAGCAGCATAGACCGTAACGATTTTTCTAAGTGACTTTTGAGTCGACTCAAAAGGCATCTAATACCCAGCAGCATGGACCATAATGATTTTTCTGGGAATTCTTCAGGCGCCTCAAAAACAATTTTAGAGGGGCCTAAAAAACCAGCAGCGGGCTGTAATGATTTTTCTGAGTATTCTCACAAGTGAGACCAATTTGGCATGGACCGTACTAAGACCTGCCTTCCGTTTTGGAGGTGCCCTTAAGATTGTTTTTTGCATGGACGGTATAAAAACCTATCCTGTGTTCCGCAGGGTTTGAAGTTTAGGGTGTCCTGTGTCCACTGCTCCCCATCCCTCCATGCTTCCTGCCCCCATTCCTTCTCCCTCCCACCCTTCCTCCGCTCCCTCTCCCTATTCACCCCGGTCTCCCACCGTCAGGCCCTCTTCCTTCCCCCGGCACTAACGGACGAGCTCGCCGCCTCTTCAACGCCTTTGCCCACCGATTCCGATGCGCCATCGGTGCTCCCATGCCTGCAGCACACCATGCCACCTCCGGTGCTGCTTCTAGTGCTACCGCTGCTTCTGTGGCAAGAACTGGGGAGGCAGCAGCAGCAGGGGCAACAAGGGCAGCAGGGGCAGCAGGGGCAGCAGGGACAGTAGGGGAAGCAGCCATCCCCATCCCCATGCCTCGCATGCCCCCGCACTGGCCAGTGCTGTACCTTCTGCTGCATGCATGCGACAAGCTCACATTGTTTGGCCTTATCCGCAACGCCTCCGTGCACGTGCTACAGAGGTGGGTCTCCTCGATTGATCCAGCTCTGCTCTGGAAAAGGCCATGTTACTCGAATGTTGAGAGTCCACTCAAAAGTTTTACCTCTATCTGTATCTCATTTCCCATCCTCGCCTCCCGCCCCGTGCGCATGCCCTCTCGCTCTGCCCACGGCCCCCACCAGCGCCATAGAGCGGCTCGTACTAGAAAGAACCCCTGTGGCAGGCTCAAACGTGCACCCAACCCCCTCCTCACCTCCTAGTCACACTTCTCCCACCTCTACTCCCTTGGCTCCCGCCCTTCCCACCAGCCCCATGCACGTCCCCTCAGTGCCCTCAGAGCTGTACCGCCGCCCATCCCTGCTGGTGCTGGAATTTATTGCTTCCGTTCCTTCTTTCCCCTCGCCCATCCCTTTCTCCCAGCCCCATGCACATGCCCTCTGTGCGCTCAGAGCTGCATCGCCGCCCATCCCTGCTGGTGCTAGAGTCGCTGCTGCATGCACTGGCACGCACCAACCTGCTCAGCTGCTGCGGGGGCATCGAAGACCACTTCTGCCGCCTGCCCCCGCTGCTGCGTGGGGCAGGGAGTGGGGTTGGAAAGGGGAGGTGGCTTCTGGTGCAGGTGGTTTTGATGCAGGCATGGCTGGGGGGAGTGTGGCTGGGGATGGTGGGGGGATGGTAGAGCGAGGCTTGGGGAAGGGAGGGCAGGAGAGGCGAGGAGAAGAGCGTATGGCACAGAGGCGTGAGAATACTTGGAGTTTTGCTGGTGGTGATACTGCTGATGCGAGGGGGAATACTGGGAGCACTGATCTGGCCAAAGATCTGTTAACGAGGAAGACTATGATGAGGATGAGGTGGATGGCAGAGGGAAGACAGGGAAGGTGGTGGGGGGACAGGGCGCAGTGGAGGGGGCTGGGTGGGGGGATGAGTATGGTGATGAGGGGGAGGAAGTGGGGGAGGAGGGGGAGGGGGAAGGGGGTGGAGAGGGGATGGGTGGGGGGGAAGATGATTATGAGTATGATGATGACTACTATGGGGCACCTATTGAGGAGCTGATGAGTGACTTGGAGCATGCCAATGCGGCACCATGCCCAAGAGGTGCAACAAACAGATGCGTGAGTTACCGCACTTGTGCTTGTCATTGTGATAGGGGAAGAGATTAGCACGCCTCAGGGCGCAATTTTGTTAGGGGTTGGAACCAATAACCTTCTTTTGCTGGGTGTAGATTTGAGTGACAATAATTCGGTGAACAACAGCTCTATCCTCGTTTGTCCTCGCGAAGTCAACGCTACTCCCCTGCTGAGCTGGTGTGGATCTTGCCACGTCAGGAAGATCTGAGAAGGGGGTGAGATGGGGGATTCTGTTCTGTTTGCGTCAATGTTGTTTGGGTGCTTTGACGGGGAAAGACTCGGCCCGATAAGAAACCGTTACGAAGCTCGAATGTTGACGGAAACTGTTGCTCTCTCAACTTCCTTTCTGGAATCCCTTCCCTCATCCATGCTTCAACTTGACATACATCCTCTGGTCCAGTACTTTCACTTCACTGGCTCGAATGCTCGAAATTTCAAGATTTCAGGATTTCCATATTTCCTGATTTTCAAATAACGTCGCCATTCACCAAGTTGACGCTGCGCCGTTTTTCGACTTCGACACCCTTCAGACCTGGCATTGCTGTCGGAAGTAGGAGTGTTTGTTCTCGCCGCGCATTCACACTGACATCGAGGCATTCCGTAGAGCGTACACGCGGTAGCTCGTTCGACCCATTTGCCCGCGCGCAATCATGGCCGCCCCGCGCGAGGTATTCGTTATAGGCACAATGGACACTAAATCCGAGGAGCTCCTCTTCCTCGCGTCGCAGCTCAAACGGTCCCTTACCTCCTTAACCACGGCCGAACCGCCATTTTCCATCTCTATAATCGACGTCTCCGCGTCTCCGTCATCCGCGGCTCCCGTTACAAGCACAACATTCCCTACAATCTCCGTCTCCGACGTCCTCGCGTCGAATCCAGGCGCCGCCGCGAAATCCGCCGCGTCTCTCGCCGCGGATCGCGGAGAGGCGGTGCAGGCGGTGAGCGACGCGCTGAAGCGCTTCGTGCGGGGGAAGTGGGACACGGGCGCGCTGGCGGGCGCGGCGGGGATCGGGGGGAGCGGCGGAACCGCCATCATTGCGCCCGCGCTTAGGGGACTGCCTGTCGGTGTTCCCAAGATTATTGTTTCCACCGTCGCCAGGTGCGTTGCTATAACGAGGTGTGACTGTAGCGAGTCGCTGATGCCATCCGTAGTGGACTTGGCGCACCCCTCTGAACCCCCTTCACTGAACCCCCGCTTCATTACCCTTTCCCACACCCATCCAATCCCCACATACCACAAAACGCAGCGGCAACACGGCGCCATACGTGGGCACATCGGAGCTGCTGCTGCTGCCATCGGTGGCGGACGTGGCGGGGCTCAACGCCATTCTCCCTCCAACCCCATTGCCTCTCCCCCCCTTCCCAAACACCACCCAACCAGCGGCAACACAGCACCATACGTGGGCACCTCGGATCTCTTATTACTACCATCAGTGGCGGACGTGGCGGGGCCTAAACGCCATTCTCCGCGCTGCCCTCTCCTCCGCCGCAGCTGCCCTCGCCGGCATGCTGCTCCTGCGCGCCCTGCCCACCCAACCGCCCTCCACCGCTCTGCCTTCCTCTGTTGGCGCTTCTGCTGCTGCTACTGCGCCGGTTACAGTGGGGATCACGATGTTTGGGGTTACCACGCCGTGCGTTACGGAGGTGCAGCGGCTTCTCAGCAGCAAGGCCAGCAAGGAGGGAGGCGCGGGGTGGGTGGGGGATGCAGGAGGAGTAGGAGAGGTGGAGACGGTGGTGTTTCATGCGACGGGCACGGGGGGAAGAGCTATGGAGGAGAACGTTGCTTCTGGACTCATTCAGGTGCGCTCGCTGCACATACCTCTCTTTACCCGCCCGCTCATCCCCCCTCACCATGCTGCTCACCCGCTCACCGCACTGCTCACCTCCACCCGCGCTGCTAGTTATCAGCACAGCGAGATACGAATCGACTTGCCGAGATCATTGTGGGCTGGGCGGCACCCTGGCCCGTCCGCGTGCTGGCATCGTCACAAACATCCCCACAAGTAAGTCTATCACCATAGTGAGTCACAACACGCACACCCTCGCCTCCTCCGCTCCCCTCTCTCAAACGGTCCTTTGTATAATATCAACCACTCTCTCTGACTCCCCAGGCAACACAGGTAGCAGACCTTCTATTGGGCGCCACACTTTTGAGTTGACTGAAAAATAGGCCCAGGCAACACAGGTAGCAGCAGACCTTGTATTGGGTGCCACCGCAAGCTGTCTGCCCACTGGGCTCGTGCGAGTCACTCCAAGCTCACCCTTCCCTCCCCCCTTTACCAGCCGGTACTGCACATCACGACAACCGAGGTGAAGGACTTGGTAGTGGGCGGCACCATGGCGTGCCTGCAGTTCACAGTATTGACAGTCACTTCAGCCACACCCCTCCCTCCCCACCCTGTTCTGGACGTCACGACAACCGAGGCAGCGGACTTTGTAGTGGGCGGCACCATGCTGCCGTGCCAGCTCACCACATTCCTGAGAGTCACATCAGCCACGCCCCTCTCTTCCCACTACTCCCCCCTCCCCAGGCTGTGCTGGACATCACAACAACAGAGGTGGCGGACTTCATAGTGGGCGGCACCATGCCGTGCCTGCCCACCAGGTTTGACGCCGCCATTCAGCACAAGGTGCCCCTCGTGCTCAGCCTGGGGGCGCTCGACATGGTCAACTTCGGAGAAGCTTCCTCCGTGCCCAAGGAGTTTGACGGGCGCACCCTCCACGTGCACAACCCACAGGTATGCCTGTCTGGTTATTTTCTGGTGCACACACCCCCAGCCAGGTACGATTGTGAGGTCATGGGCGGGCAAGGGGTAGGATTGTAGTGAGATAACGGAAGAGGAGGTTCAACGAAAGAGAGAGTTGATTGAGCCTGAGACAGGAGTTAATAAGGTGGAGAGTTCATAGAGAAAATCTCAGCGAAACGTGCAATGCAAGAACTCCCTGTTGAGGTGTATGTTTCCTTTGGCTAGTCTATCAAGCAATTGTGGACCTTTGGTGTGTGTCTGTGCAGTGTCTCCCTCTTCCCCCCTCAGAAGTTCCGCCCCTTCTCCTGATACTCACGGCCCCCAGGTCACCCTCATGCGCACAACGGCTGACGAGAACCGTCGGATCGCGCAGTTCATCGCGGACAAGATGAACCAATCGCAGGCGCCCGTGACACTACTAATACCTGAGGGGGGCCTGTCCGCTCTAGACGCCCCGGGCATGGCCTTTTGGGACCCCGCTGCCGACGCTGCTCTGTTCGATGAGCTGGAGAAGCAAGTGGAGCAGACAGACAGCAGGAAGGTGGGTACGAAGTGGTGATGACGGTTGAAAGAGATAGAGTGCGGTACAGGTCGGTTCAGAGTGGGGGGCCTGTTGGCCCTGAACGCCCGGGGCATGGCCTTCTGGGACCCTGCTGCCGACGCTGCTCTGTTCGAGGAGCTGGAGAAACACATGGAGCAGACAGACAGCAAAAAGGTGGGTACGGTTAAGGGTGGGAGGGATAGAGTGCGGTGCGGATGTGTACAACAGAGTGGAGTGGTGTTTGTGGAGTTGTGCGGCCAATGCTGGTCTGTTTGGAGATCATAAGCGAGAGGCGTTGCTGATGGCAACAGAAGAAGAAGGCATGGTGCTAGTTATCATCTTTTGAGGCGAATCAGAAGTCGCCGCACGGTGCTGATTATCATCCACACAGAAGGACAATGGATGGTGTGTGCGGAGGCGATGGGTGGTGAGGGAGATGGGTGGTGAGGGAGATGGGTGGTGAGGTTAGGGACTCAACCTCTCACTCTCACTTCCAACCTTCTCTCAACACCCATTCCCTCTTCCCACTCCCTCCCCTCTCGAACGGTCCGTAAGGCAACATCTACACACAGAGCTAAAGTAGCAATCAACTAACCTAGCACAACAACAACCGCCCCTTCCCCTTCCGGCCCTAGTGGCCGGAGGGGTCTTCTATTAGTTGGTACAGCTGGCCCTCGCTCAGTGGAGTGAACGGGCCCTGCAGGCCTAGCACATCCGCGGTGAGAGCCTCATTCATGGGTCTTATCCCTGAGGGCGTTGGCTTGGGCTCTCTGCAGGGTCACGCTCCATCGCTGCCGGTACTCGGTGCGTAGCTTAGCCACCTCCCTCGACTTTGGGGCAGCGTTTAAACCGCCGCTTTGCCGCTAGCTCCGCGCAGCTGGGAAGGAAATCGAGAACTCCAGGCGAGGGGTAGCCGTAAGTCTCAACAGCCTTGGCATAAAAGCCCACCCACGCGCTCCGCCCGGCGTATTTGGTCTCCTTCTTGTCCGCCTGCATCCTAGCAGCCCACCCGGGCGCTTTACGGGCGTGCTCGTCCTGGTGGGAGACGGGGTCTATGACTGTGATGTCACAAATCCACACTGCACCGGTGTTGGGATGGCGGATAGAGTATGCCGTTGTCTCCTTGTGCACTGTGAAGCCTGCTTCAGCCGCTATCTTCGCGCACTCATCTCGCAACGCATTGTGAGTGGCGATTCTCCCCCCCCCCTTTCTCACACCGCATCAGGTGGTTCGGCAGGCGGTCATCAGGGAAGGTGGTGCGGTATCTGCAGTTGCAGCGTCTTGGCACAGGTACGGGCAGGCCTAGGCGGAAGGAGGCCGCAGTGGAGAACTGCGAGGGTCCGAGGCGGAGGGAAGAGATCAAGGGGACGGCGAGCAGCCAGTCCCCCCACCCCCGGGCCTAAGAGGGACTGAAGCCTCTGCGTATGGCCGGACAGCGGGTTCAAGTCCATGTTCCGTGAGCTGTCCAGCAGTCAAATATAGCGGGCTGAGTGCACCGCGAGGGAGAGAGCCTGCTGGATTTTAGGCCCGTCCGGCTTCTGTCTCCCCGTCTGCAGAGCCTCGATTCCATCAGGCGGCAACTCGGCTTCCAGGGTAGCAAGGCGTCTCGGGAGGAGGGAAGCGGATTCTCCGTCAGCATCCATCAGCGGCAGGAGTGCTGTTATGGCCGGGTTTGCCAAATCGCCGAAGGAGCGCAGTAGGTGGGCTTCGGAGACGACCAAAGCCAGGTAGGCGTATCTCCCTTCCACTGCAGGGTTGGTGATGCCGAGTCCTCCCAGGGACGCGGGCAGGGCGGCCTGGTGCCAGATCCTGTCCCTCTCTGCCCGGTCCCTGGGGATCCTTGTGTGCGCAGCGGCCTGGTAGGTGAGGAGCAGTTCTTCCCCCCACGCGGACCATTCCCCCCACGCGGACCATTCCCCCCACGCGGACCATTCCCCCAACGGAAAGGCCTCAGGTGGCGTGGCTCTGGCCAGGAACGAGGCGCGGCGGCTCACGCAGTGTGTGAGCAGTAGCAGGCAGAGTTGGGGGTCCATCTGGGGGAGGAGCGTGAGTGGTTCGGCAGCTGCAGCAAGACGTTCGCGTATTCGTGCCCGCACTGCCGGTGGGGTGCCCAATGGGGCTGCCTAGGACGCGGAAACCGTCCAGGGAGATCGAGATGCCAGCGGGTAAGGTGGCGGGTTCTAGTGCAGCTGCGGACCACGCCTCGCATTTCGCCGGGTTGTGGGCCAAGCCATGACGGCGGAGGGCTTCCGTGAGGTGAGTGAATGCCGCCGTGCAGCTCGCCGCCTCCCCTAGCAGAGTGATGTCATCTGCATACGCGAGAAACACCACGTCCGGATGTGCCGCTGCCGATTGGACGAGGCAAGGGTGGATGCTGGCTGCGAACAGCATGGGTCCCAGCGGGTCACCCTGGCGTACGCCCCGAGCGCTCTGTAGTGGCTCCGCCCCAAAGTCATGGTCGAGATAGAGCACGGATGAGTGGCCGTATGAGAAGCGGACGAGGGGCACCAAGACTTCGAGGTCGGTGCCTTTCAAGCCTTTGAACACTGCCGCACGCTCCACTGCGTTGAAGGCGTTTGCTAGATCAATCTGCATGGCCGTTGCTCCTGGGAACTCCTCCAGGTAGGTGCGCGCGGTTTGTATCGCCGCCTCTATTCCTCCTGCGATTGCTACTCCAAATTGAAGCGGGGGTGAAGTGCTCGCGCGCCGCTGGAGCGGCCAGAAAAAGGGCCGCCTTGGCGATGAGGCGATGGGCCGCCTTGGCGATGAGGCGTAGCAGACATTCACCCACAGCTATCGGCCGCGTTCCGCCCTGCGGTTTCGAGAAAGCCAGTAAGCGCGACGCTGTTAGGAGATCTGCCACGTCTGCATTCAGTTTTCCAGCGAGCGCCGTGTTGGTAAGTGCGTGTAGCTGTAGGAAAACGTCTCCGTTCCCAAGGGCCGCGTCTCTCAAGTGCTCGAAGGTAGTGCCTGAGGGCCCAGCCCCTACTCCGTTGGGGCATTTGGCTAGCAGTCGCCTGAAGTCCCGGGCAGCGATGAAAGGGACGGTCTCTGGGGCGAAGTCATGTACCCAGGCTGGGATGGCCGCGGTGGCCTCTGGGTGTCTGGCTGTGAGCGTACTGAGGACTTCAGCGCTCGGCGTGCAGACGGGCATGGCAGTCAGAGTCTGCAGTGATTTCGCCAAGTTCCCTCTTTTTGCCAAACCTTCGGCCCGCGAGAGCTTGCCAGTGACGTCAGGTACGTGGCGTGGTTGGGGATTACTGGTAACCGCGTCAGCTGCCTCGTCGTACAGGTTACGCCATTGGCCTTGGCGAAATAGCAGAACATTCGCTTGCCCCACCACATCAACGATCCTGCCTTGGCTGCATTTTGAGGTGCCAAACTCGATCTCTCTCTCTCTCCACTCCCATTCTCTCGCCCCCCCACTTCCTCCCACCTTATCACGCCCTCGTAGATCATTCGCCTGCCCCACCACATCAGCGACCCTGCCTTCGCTGCTGCCCCTCGTCAACGCTCTCCTGCCCCTCCTGCCATCCACCACTGCTCCCGCTGCTGCTGCCCCCACCTGCTTCTGCTGCTCCTCCCCCTCCCCAAACCTCCCGAACCAGCTTCCGCCACAACCACCCCTGCCCTCTCCACCTCTCCCTCCCCTACTCCACCCCTCTCCACCACACTCAACCCACCTCCTGCCCTCGACCTCACCCCGATCCCCTGGCTGGTCGACCGCCGCACCGCCATCCTGCACTCCCTGCGTTCCCAAGTGGCGGCAGGGAGGGCGATCATAGGGGGCGGGGCGGGCACGGGGATAAGCGCCAAGTGCGAGGAGATGGGGGGCGTGGACCTGATTGTGATCTACAAACTCGGGCCGCTTCCGCATGGCTGGCAGGGGGTCGCTGGCGGGGCTGCTGCCGTTTGCCGATGCCAATGCTGTGGTGGAGGACATGGCTAAGGAGGTGCTGCCGGTGAGTGTGATTGCGGTGAGCAGCGGCATCTGATGGTATTTAGAGGTCCTGCTGGTGAGTGCGACAGCATTGCGAGGAGATGGGAGTGCAGAACTTCCCCACAGTCGGCCTCTTCCCCACAGTCGGCCTCTTCCCCACAGTCGGCCTCTTCCCCACAGTCGGCCTCTACGACAGCTCTTTCCGCACCAACCTAGAGGAGACCGCCCCTTCTCTTCCTAAACTCTCACCCCCCTCCCCCTCCCTTCTCTCTCCCCTTCTCCCCCCCGTCCCCCCCACCCCCACCCCCACGCCCCCACCTCCACCTCCCGCCACTCCCCCCAGGTAATCAAGTCAGTGCCGGTGCTAGCAGGCGTGTGCGCCACGGACCCCTTCCGCCAGATGCCTCTCTTCCTGCGCCGCCTCGCCGCCCTCGGCTTCGCGGGCGTCCAAAACTTCCCCACAGTGGGCCTCTACGACGGCTCTTTCCGCACCAACCTAGAGGAGGACCAACATGGGGTACCCCGCTCGAAGTCGCCATGATTAAAACGGCTAGTCTCCTGGGTTTCCTCACGACGCCGTATGCGTTCAACGAGGAGGAGGCGCGGAGCATGGCGGTGCGCGGGGGCGGATGTGGTGGTAGCGCACATGGGCTCACGGCAGCAGGCAGCATAGGGGCGAGAACGGTGTGCTCTCTAGAGGAGGCGGTGGGGCGAGTGCAGCGCATGGCTGATGCTGCTAGAGGGGTCAACCCCAACGTCCTAGTGCTGTGCCATGGTGGTGAGTGGTGCTGTGCGTGCGGCAACTGGGGGGTTAACTGGGGAATGAACGGGCTTTCAACGTGGGGGTGGTATCCTCCCACCCACCTTGACCTCCCTCCACCTTCCTCCCACCTTGACCACACTCCACCTTCCTCCCGCCTTCCTTCTCGTGTTCTTGTTCATGCCACTTTGTGTGCTCCTGCCATGTCCTGCACCCCACCAGGTCCCATCAGTGGTCCAGAGGAGGCGAGGTACGTTCTGCAGAACACGCGGAGGGCGCACAGCTTCTATGGCGCGTCCAGCATGGAGGCCCGTCCCTCATCCATTTCCACCTTGCTTCTCTTGCCCCTGCCAATCCCTGTATGTACCCCGCCAGGTCCCATCAGTGGGCCACAGGAAGCGCGGTACATTCTGCAGAACACGCGGGGCGTGCACGGCTTCTACGGCGCGTCCAGCATGGAACGGCTGCCCGTGGGAAACTGCAATCACGGAGAACCTCAAGGCATACAAGGCCATTCGCCTGTCTTCCTAAGCCGTGTGTAAGGAGAGATCCTTTCTGAGACACCTAAAAAGCGCGTCCAGCATGGATGGGGCGCCTGCCTGTGGAAACTGCCATCACTGACAACAGGCATACAAGGCCATTCGACTCGCCTGCCTTCTTAGGTCGTTAAGCCCAGGGGACAATTTTGGAGACGTCTCAAGTATTGGAGCCTTGCATGCATAGGTACTAGTTGGGGATTTGGCGACTGGTTTGGATTGGTATCAACTCAACAATACAATGTCTAGTTTGTGTGTTGATGTACCGTATTTACCTGGCTAATGGACCCCCCTAAATTTATAGACCCCCGGGTCGTTAAATGGGGGGCGGGGGGGGGGTCTAATGTTATCACCACTTTCATAATAGACCCCACCTTTTGTAATGTATCCCGGATTAGACCCCCTCCACTGTAGAAAGCTCATTTTCGGCAAAACTGTAGCGAGACTCATAGTATCAAGGTAGCGCAAACACTGTTCTGGCTGGAAATTTGACCATGTGCATGTCTCGCGTCAGTGCGTGGTCAAAATTTTCCCGATGCGATATCGAAATGGTGACCTCCCTTATGCTGTAACACTCGTGTTTGTGTTACGGGTGCAATGAATCGAAGTAGTGAGAATTGCACTAAGGTGTCAAACGAGTACAAAATGTGAGCGAAGGCATGAGCGAACATTTATATGCGAAACATGCAAACGGTAACGCGGTGCGTGCGAGCTAGCTAGTGCTATGCTGGAAGCGAGGCTTGGGCTAGTCCCGAAGCGTAGGCCGATACGGCCAGGCCAGCAGTGCGAGGTTTTGGTGAAACAGTGCGCGCGAAGTCGGCGAAGCCCCGTTAGCAGTAACGGGCGAACAACGGCTGCTGCTGTACGCGATGTTACAGGGCGCGCTAAGGAATATCGAGAAAATTCTGTCAAACATTCATACTATAGTCTTGCTAGGCTGTAGTGGGGTAGACACTATGGGGTACAGTTTCCTAGGGTTTCATATTTGTACCCAACTCATTTCTAGTCATCATCATTCCTCGTAATTCTTTTCACATGGTATAGAGCGAGTTCCCTAGTGGGAACGTTTTTTTTAAGGGCCCACCACTACGAAAATATTTTTTTCCTTACCTGCCCGGAGCGCGCTTCGCGCCTGCCTTAGTTGCGCCCCGTGCGCCTGCCCCCCCGTCGCCTGCCCTGCCCTTAGAGGCCCGTCGCGCCCCTTACGGCCCCTTCGCGGCCCCTTCTCGGCCCTTCGCGGCCCCTCTCGCGGCCCTTCGCGGCCCCCTCACTGCCCCTTCGCGGCCCTCTTCGCAGCCCTTCGTGGCCCCCCTCACGGCCCTTCGCGGCCCCTTAGCGGCCCTTCGCGGCCCCCTCACGGCCTTCGCGGCCCCCTTCGCGGCTCTTCGAGGCCCCCTTCACGGCCCTTCGCGGCCCCTTCGCAGCCCCGCCCCGTCGCCTGTCGCGGCCTGCCCTGCCTTCGGCGCGGCCCTCCTCTGCTCCGCTCGTCGACCCGCCGCTGCGGCCCCACCCTTGCCCCTCTCGCCGGTCGCGGCCTCCACCTGCAGCAGCAGCCGAGGAGCCCTGCAGCAGCTGCTGTCCCTGCCGCCGCCGCCGAGGCTGCCTCCGCCGGTGTGACGAGCCGCCGCCGCCGCTGCCTTCGCTTCTGCCCCGGCCCTGCCCTGCAGCCGAGCCGCGGCCCTGACCTGCCGCCCAGTTGCGGCCTCGACCCTGCCGGCGCACCACGGCCCTGCCCCACCAGTAGCGGCCTCCCTACCCACCCGCCCCTGGTAAGCGCACCGTCGAACCGCGCCGCCCTGCCTAGCCGAGCCGCCCTGCCTAGCCGCGCCGCCCCTGTCGAGTCGCGCCACTACTGCTGCTCCTGCTGCTCTTACTGCTCCTGCTACTGCTGTCATGGCTGCCCCCAACGTACTCAAATTCGATGCTGAGGGCCGAGCGGTAGATTTTGAGGTCTGGGTCGATGATCTACAGCTGTTCCTGCAGTGCGATAGCAAAGATCAGGTCTCGCTTTTTGATCTCACGTCTGGCGCCTCTGCTGCACCTGCTGCCACTGCTGACAGTGCTGTTCGCTCGCAGTGGACCACGCGCGATGCTGCTGCCCGCCTTGCTATTCGTAGTCACCTGTCGTCTGCTGAGCGCGCGCACTTTAGTCAGTACAAGACCGCTAGGACTCTGTACGACGCTGTTGTTGCGCGCTACTCCTCCCCTGCCACTGCTGCCCTTAGTCGCCTCATGCTGCCGTACCTGTTCCCTGACCTAGCCGCTTTTGCCACAGTCGCTGACCTCATTACCCACCTCCGCACTAGTGACACCCGCTACCGCGCTGCGCTTCCTGCCGAGTTCTGCGCCAAGAACCCCCCCCCTATGTACATCACTCTCTACTACCTCGTCACCCGGCTCCCTGACTCCCTTTGCTCGGTCAGGGACCACTTCCTCTCCCTCTGCCCCACCACGCTCACCGTTGACCTCCTCGAGGAGCGCCTCCTTGCAGTTGAGAAGAGTATCGTCGCTGTAGGGGCCTCTCGTGGTGACCCTCGCGCCCCTTTCTTTGAGGGGTGCTCCCCCTCTCCCCTCTTGCCCTCTGTTGCCTCTGCTGCTGCTGTCGACCTCGTTGGCACCGAGTCGGTCGGCGCTGCGTCTACTCCTAGTGGGAGGCGCCGCAACAGCAAGGGCAAGGGGGGCAAAGGGGGTGGAGGGGGCGGCGGGGGCGGCGGTGGTGGCGGTGGAGGTGACGGAGGGGGTGGGGGTGGGGGTGGAGGTGGGGGTGGGAGTGGTGGCTCGGGTGGGGGCTTCGGTGGCGGCGGTGGAGGTGGAGGCGGCGGAGGCAGCGGGAGTGGGGGTGGAGGTGGCGGCGGCGGAGGCGGAGGTGGGGGTGGCGGGGGCGGTGGTGGGCAGCGGGGAGGCGCTAGCGGTGACCAGCGCCAGCAAGCAGCAGCGCTCCCGTGAGACCCTGTCGCCTCAGCAGCTCCGTGAGTGGTATGCTGGGCGTGGGAGGTCTGGGGGTGCTGGTCCCTGCACTTACGTTCTTCGCACCGGCGACCGCAGTGGAGAGACGTGCGGCGGCCCGCACACCACACCTCGCTGCTTCGGCCGCCTGACTGTCGCCTGGCGTACACAGTTCCCTGGCTCTGCTGAGATCCCTCGCTGGGATATTCTGCTTAAGTCGGGGGTTGCTATCTTTGATCTTGACTATGATGCTATCCTTGCTGCTATGTATGCTGTGTCTATTAGTGCTGAGGGTGACTGTTACCTGTGTGTTCCGCCCGACCCGGGCATTGAGGCTGCTGCGCTAGGTGCTAGTGCGTCTACTGCTCCAGGTGTTGGTGAGACTGCTCTCTCAGGTACCGCGTCGGCTCAGGTCTTACACACTTTTACCCTTGACTCGGGTGCTTCCCGCTCCTTCTTTCGCGACTGCACCACACTCTCGCCGCTCAGTGGCCTGTGGTTGTCTCTCTGGCTGACCCCTCTGGGGGACCAGTTGTGGCCCATTCCTCCACTGTTCTCCCGTGTCCTGCGGCTCCGTCCGGCTCGCTGTCTGGTTTTCACCTCCCCTCGTTCTCTACGAACTTGGTGGCGGGTGCTGATCTTCAGGATGGGGGTGTTCACCAGTTCACCCCTGCCTATCAGCGTGTGACACACTGCACGTGTGCTCGGACGGGTCGTCACCTGGCCACGTTTACCCGTCGGCCAGGGTCCAGCCTGTACACCCTTACCACTGAGTCTCCTCCTGTCACTGCGACTGGTCAGGTAGCCGCGTCGGGTAAGGTGTTTGCTGCAGCGTCCCGGTCTGGCCCTGAGTCTGCCCCCTGCTCGTGTCGCCTCCTGTCTCACGAGACTCTCCTTTAGCACCACCGCCTTAGTCACCCCTCCCTGCCTCGTCTCAGAGGCATGGCCTCCCGTGTCCTTATCTCTAGTCTCCCCCCTTCCCCTTCCTCCTCTTCCTCCGGGGCCTGCCCCTACCTGCGTTCCCTGCGTCGAGGGTCCTCACTCCTCCGAGTTTCCTCCGACAGAGGCTCCCCTGCAGACTCTTCACATGGACGTGTGGGGCCCAGCCTGCGTCCGTGGACAGGGTCACGAGCGCTACTTCCTGCTGGTTGTTGACGACTACTCGTGTTACACCACAGTCTTCCCCTTGCGCCGCAAGGGTGAGGTCACTGAGGTGTTGATCGACTGGATCCGTGCTGCTCGTCTCCAGCTCAGAGAGAGTTTAGGCTCGGACTTTCCTGTTGTGCGTCTGCACTCAGACAGAGGTGGAGAGTTTTCCTCCGACCTTCTGCAGGCCTACTGTCGGGCGGAGGGCATCCGCCAGACGTTCACGCTTCCGGCCTCTCCACAGCAAAATGGGATTGCTGAGCGCCGCATTGGCATAGTCATGGATGTCGCTCGTACGTCTATTATCCATGCGGCTGCTCCCCATTTTCTGTGGCCGTTCGCGGTTCAGTACGCGGTGCATCAGCTCAACCTCCAGCCCCGGGTCCTCCATGCCGGAGACCACTCCCACTCTGCGGTGGACGGGGAAGGTTGGCGATGCGTCTGCTTTCCGTGTCTGGGGATCTCGAGCTTTCGTCCGCGACTTGTCTGCGGACAAGCTGTCCTCCCGTGCCGTTCCCTGCGTCTTCCTTGGCTTCCCTCCTGACGCGCCTGGCTGGCAGAGTTTTACCACCCCACTCGCGCCGTGTTTTGTCCTCTCAGGACGTCACGTTTGACGAGTCGGTTCCCTACTACCGTCTCTTCCCCTACCGCACTGCCCCCCTCCCCCCCCCGCCGCTCTTCCTCGTGCCAGGTCCTCCCCAGGTAGACCCCCTCCCCCTCAGGGTCCTGCCCCCTCAGGTGTGTCCCAGGTAGACGCAGTCGAGCTTGTCAAGGTAGCTCTTAACTCTGGTGCTGCTAGGGGTGCTGAGCCTGCGGGTGCTGGGTCTGGGGGTGCTGAGCCTGAGCGTACGGAGCCTGGGGGTGCTGAGTCTGGGGGTGCTGAGCCTGGGGTTGCTGCATCTGGGGGTGCTGAG